AAACATACTGCTGAAAATATTTATTTTATTTTTTCTCAATGGCTTATGCTTAATTTCTCGTTAGTATTGACATGATTTAAGACTGACAAAATCAAATAATGCACATACAAATATTGCAATGAGTTACGAGACAAAATATATTCTCTCTCTGTTGGATTTAGAAACCATGCAGCGATATAACTAAACAATTAGGAACAACAATATATTAAAATCGAGGTATTGGAAATAATAAACTGGGAAATTGATTTAAACATAGTTTCCCGAAACAAAGTCTGTTAACAGTTTAGGCTGTTTATTATAAATGTGTAATACTATATAGTATCCTGTTTTTGATGAACAAAACAGTTAGGTTTTTTTTCTTTTAGTCAACCGTGAGTTATCTCCCATCTGTGTAAATGGTAGGATTAGAACTTTCTATGTGTATATGTGTAAATGGTTTCAAGAAAAATGCGTATTAGGGGCGAATCCAGTCATTTTTTAAAAGGGGTGTTCCAACCATATGTCCCCATTCAAAAGCATTGATCGTCGAAAAAGGGGTTTTCCAACCCCGGGAACGTACCCCCCCCCCCCCCCCACCTTGTATCCGCCACTGCGTATTTTACATTTAGGTCAATAACAGAAATTCACCTAAATGTATTCAAAGAAAATGTTAATTGTGAGTGTCTTGGCTATACAAACTATCTGGATGGGAAATATTGCTTAACTTAAACATGGGAGATGATTTTGCTTTCATACTGTTACAATTCCTCTGTGAATAAAAATACACGTATTGGTATTATACATACATAACGGTCAATGTATTACCTACATACATTGTATGGCAGCAATTGGAAGTGTTTATGATATTGACATTTGTATATTTATACCAAATCTGTTATTGTAAACTTGACAGTAGTATGTCGGCCTCCTTTTGTGACACCATTCAATTTTCCTCTTAAATTTCTTGCACGTGCTGCAATAGAATATAAATAAGATTAATCAATAAAAAAAAAAGGAATGAACATTAAAAACGCAATATTTACAAAATATGGTGAACCATTTATCAGCAAAAATATCAATGGATAAGAAATGATACTGAAATGCCGGATATTCAGAACAATTCATGTAGTATATCATATAGTTTTAATAATTATTGATGCATTGTGCCACATGTACAGCAGGATCTGTTTAACCTTCCGGAACACCTTAGATCACACCCGATTTTTGGTGGGATTCCGTGTTGCTCAGTCTTTAGTTTTCTATGTTGTGTTTTGTATACTGTTATGTCTTTTTAGGTCGTTTTTCATTTGTTGTCAAGGCATTGTCATTTTATTTTCGACTTATGCATGAGGGTAGGAATGGGGTACCCCACATGACGAATGACGGTAAAATATTTGTTAAAATAACTTAACGATAAACATTTTACTCCATTTGACGCTAACGGTAGCTGTAAAATGAGATTTGACGAATGACTATAAAATTTAAGGCTCATTTGACGCTAACGGCAGCGAAAAACGGACGTTTGATGGTTGACGATAAAGGACATTCCTACCCTCATGAATGCCCCTTGGATATCTTTCGTCTCTCTTTTTGTGAATATCTTATGTATCTTTTGCGTTTTCGAGTACTGATATGGAAAACAGTTATGTTGAGGTATGTATGTATGTCAATGCTAGCGATTTAATAAAAAAAAAATGAAATTTAAAAATTTTTTTTATAGAAAAAAATATATGCCACTAAGAAACACCATAACGATTCATCTTGTACATATACTACTGAAATTGATATATTGGTAAAACAAAATACAATAATTTAAGTAGTTTATAGTTCAATCCACAGACTTCTTTTTCTCGCATTTTAAGGTACCGAAAAAACACATAAACTTCATTTTACTTACGATCTGTAAGAAATCTTTGAGCCTCTGTGTCGTTAGGGAAACGATGTACAGCAAGGGTACTTCCGGTTCCAATCCAGCTGCTACGATCAACGCTAGCGTTGTTTGTACGTACAACAAAAGGTTCACAGTTATAGTCACGTAGAATGTCTCTCATTGGTTCAATTATTTCTGTTCGGAAGTAATCTGGATGTTTCACTGCTGGATATTCAGTAAGTAAGAATGTTCTACATGATCCGTCTACAATTATAAAGAGATAGATGGTTGTGCATTTTTATTTGATACAATTTATTTTGAAAAATAAGACGATGTGGTATGATTGCTAACTATCCACCACACACCAAATGACGTAGATGTAAGTAAGGCTGTTTTTTTTTTTTGGCTAATCTAAAGAATTTTTCATCAGCTTAAGAATATTTTCAAATTTTTCTTCAACTCTTATTGTATGTATCAAATTGGATTTAGAAAAAAATTAGAGATTAACCAAAAATTTTCTTGCGAAATTGTTAATTTCTAAAAAGATATCGCAAGATCTCCACAGAAGAAATCTGAGTGAAATAGATGATAAGGCTGTATTATCCTTTCGAGTCACATAGCTAAAACATCCGACAATACAGGTCACAGTTTCTCCAACTAATTAATTAGTACATCCAAATCGCAAATCTCTTCAGCCAGTGTGGGATGTATAAATACGCAGCCACGTCCAATCTAAATGACAATGTTATATCCGCTGCCTAGTGGAGGGAAGGTGCCACGCTCTCTGTGCGTTAGAAAAAGCCCTTGTTGGTACTTTTTGAGGGACCCGCAGGCAGCCTGTTGCAAGGCTTACTTCTGCCCTAAACAAACATACCCTTTACCAATGACAGTCCATATTTCCCAACCTTGTTGGCGCACTTTGCAGAACCTACTTAATCGATTTATTGTAAATTTGTTGTCGTCCAGAAATTTCATGAACTATTTGCCACTGCGCGCCAAGTAAACAAAAGAATCAATAAATTATTCGAATGAAAAGCTGTCCTCTTTTTTGGCGCATATTTGCCCGTAACAGTTAAGATGTTGACCAGAATCCAGTTATTAGTCCATTGAAATATAATTGAACTTCAGATTGATGGATTTTCTGTGAAATTCTTTGCGATTCCAAGTTCAGAATTCTTATCCCCTTCTTTTCTATTGAAAAATAATGATTGATTTTAATATCCTCTCAAGTTTTATTGTATCATTTTTTAAATGACTTACTTTATTGTTGAAATTGAAATAATCTACATTTTTATGAAACACATAACACGAAGTTGAAGAGCATTGAGAACCCAAAAACTATAATGCAGAAGATATCTTCACACTGTAGATATTTTATTATTGTTTTTTTTTCTGTAACTGACGATCCTTTTATACTCTTTACCCCTAGGGAACTAGTATTATTGATCTCTTCATATTGACGGGGTACATACATGTATGATTGCCAAATAGGCAACTATTTACTAAAGGACGAAAATATAAACAAGTATAGGGCACTGTACCGGCCCTCAACAATGAGAAAGACGCATATCGTATAGCTATAAAAAGATTCCTGCATTACAAACTGTGAATTCATTAAAAGAAGAACACCAACGGCCTGATTTATGCTAGAAACAATAAACAAAAAACAAAAATGACAGACAGCACTCAATGGCAACCACTGGATTACATGCTGCATAACTGGGATAGGCACATGAAAGAAAAATTTATTTAAACCGAGTTAAATAAAATATATGCAATTACTGTAACATATGCTGCAAACAAATGATTTATACTTTACATTTTCTCAAACTGATAGACATTTTAGACATACCTTCTGGTGGAATGTAATTGATTGGCACAATAACCATGTCACGCCCATATGGAGCTGGAAACGACGCCCCCTTAAAGTCTTTATCATAGTCAATCCAATATTTAGCCGCCTTTGCATTTGGGAACCACAGAACTATCACAATATAATCGGTGTCATACTCAGTAACTCCATGGTCTTCAAACGCCGGTCCTCGTTTCAGTTGCCAGTTGCTGTAGTCACCAGTAATTCTTACCTAGAAATATATATCATTAAAATGGAATTTTTAAATTTTCAGGTTTTAATAAATTGAAAACCCCAATCGAAATATACGACTCTTCGTTGTTATAAAATCTTCTTCAAATTTCTATTAAACGTTTACAAAGTATCCTGTATACCTTCGTATTATTTACTAGTGGACTAATTTCTTGTAAATTAGTTAATATCTTTTTTCACCTGATTATTGCCAAGGAGTTATATTTGAAAATAAACTAATTATAAGTTGTTTGCAGCAGCTTCGTAGATAGAACACTGATATTTTAACAGTTTGTCGCTAAAAATATATTCTATAATACTTTTTTTATTATAAAAATGTAATTAAGCTTCCTAATACGTCTCTTAATTCCAAATTGCCTTTTAAACAAAACGAAGGTTGTATAAAACTGACAAATCTCAGTAGTTAATGCATCATAATACCATTATATATTTCTACATCCGACAATGACTCGTGCATTCAACAGTTGTATAATAGATTATACGTTTACCAGACAATAAGAAATCTCAATTCCAAATGAATTTCGCACACATAATTCTTTAAAGCTGCCAACCAAAAAATGACAATCACAAATGAAACTCGCACATTATGCAGCCAACTTCATATTGTAAAGAGTTTTTTTTTTAAGTTGCCAACAATTAAATAGTTTGTCAAACTCATTAATTGAACACGCTTTTTTAGTTGAACTAAATGATAATCAAGCATGTAAGAGGGGTGAAAAAGGGGGTCCATGATTCCCACTTCCTTACCCCCAACTCCCACTTCCTCCCCCTACTTCCAATTCCCTCACTCCTACTCCCCACCACCCTTACTCCCAGACGAAAATCGATCAAACAAATTTTCCCAGAATATCCCTATTTTTAATTCTTTCTTCCCCCGGTTCCCGCCCCCCATTCCCATATTCCCTTACCCTATTCACCCCCTCATGTAAACTTGGTTCTAAAAAACATAGTAAGTACCCTTGTTGATATTCCAGTCAACATCCCACTCTGATTCAACATTGTTTTGTGTTTTTGAAAGCTTGTCTTAATATCTGACAGAGCATCTTTGTGAGTTCTGATGAAAAGGTAAACTCCACTCTCTGGTCTAGAAACCTAGATGTGTAGAAAAAAAGGTGATTAAATATCAAATTATATATACATTACTATAAAAAGTAAATGAAAAATAAAGGCAAGTATTTTCGACGAAATTTGTTACAGTTATGTAATAATTCATCATCGCCTTTAAGTTAATACTTTTGTATACTGTTTAAATGATATTATTATATTTATTTTTTTAAGTATTCTAAATTTTATTGTTGTTATTTTTTTTTTTTTTGGCTGTATTAGTATGAGTTCGCTAGAATAAAAAAAAAAGTTGCTAGATAATGCTATAAACAAGAATAAGTGTCCATTGGACACAATGCCCCAGTCACACTCCCATCTTCAGTGCACAGCTAAATCTTAATCAAACCCCTTTATTTAGCATATACTTTCATGTCGTCTGTACTAAGTTTCAATGTGATGTTTGATGTGACTATAACTTCAAGGTAAACAACCTCAGACCAAAACTTTGAACGGATACTCGACGGACGGACAGACAAAAAAGCGTAATTCCCTACATTCATATATAGACGGGGTATAAAATCTGATTATTTGATCAATACTAAATATGATATTTAAAAGTTTGTTGGCGTGAATAAGCATTGACCGAAGCTATTTTTGTATTAAGCACAAAAATAAGATAAAAAAAGGGCTCACGGACAACATGTTTATCATTGATAATGGTGTATTCTCTTGATACAAAATGATAAAAGGATGATGCTTAGAAACTGTAAAATTTAAGGTTTTGTCAAGTATTATCAGTGTGTGTCATTTTTTATGCAAATTCAATATCAAGGGCTTTCTTGGTGTCTTCAAACTGCAATCTTATATTTATTTTCATTCATTCTGTGTGTTTTATTTTCTTTTTATCTTTTCTTCTTAAAGCAATGTACAGAAAATGAAATCATGTAAACAAAATGAGTCATTTAGTAAGAACGCTTTTATACCGTCCTGTTTTTCCTTTGACAAATACAAGGGCAAAATCATATGGGTCGCCATTTTCTATCTTTTATTGTTTTGTTGTTTTTTTAAGAATATACTTAGGTCAGGTTTTGGAATTTTTTTTCAGATGTTCGAACTCCTTGGTTTTTTTCCTACGATATAGGGTAAAATATTTTGCCCCGTAACACCCATTTTTCTTTTCATATAAGACTTCAATAGCTCATAAAAGTTCATTTACCAAAATTAAAACAGATTCTAGATTTCTTTTCTTTCGATTTGAGACCCCAATAATACCAATGCAAAATATAAGGTAAAAGTCCTCGTCAGCCTTTTCCCGCCATTTTTTTAAAAATAGATATCTCGAAAAGGAGCTCCATAACCTTTCAATAGTTTTAACTTATTTTGTTCCTTAACATTAAACTAATGCTCTTCTGACTTATAGTATCAATTTCAAAATCAAGATTTTTTTAATTTCACCTAAGTACATCCTTAAGATAGATGATAGTTAATTATCTGCTGCTGTCTGCTTTATGTTCATGTAGATAATATTTCTCATTATACTTACAGGTTCAATGTTTCCTGTCGACTTGTAGTCAATCTGAAATAAAAACAGGTAAATATAGGAATAGATTTGAAGACAAAAGGGCCATTTAATTACATGTAAAATGAGAGAGAAAATACCAGGCACCAATAAAAAGTCCAATACAAAAATGAACACCATTATCGAAAAGATAAAATCAAAATGCGAAAAGACATACAACAATGATAACAAAACAGTACACAGAAAAACTAAAGATTGAACAACACAGACCTATCAAAAACTGGGGGTAAAATCTGGTGCTACAGGCAGCAGTTCCTTCTCCAACATACCACCCGTCGTACTATTATTTAAATAGACTGATATAGTAATATAAAGTGATGAGGAATCTTGTAATAGCGGATTTGCAAATTTGTCGTGATTGTCTAACCCTAAGACATCACCTAATATATGTAAAAAAAATACATAAAAGAATGTTTAAGTTTCAAATGAAACCAGGGCGAACTGGATAAACGAGCGTTTAGTGGAAGGGACAACACAAACATTGAAAACTATTATAGCAAACTTCACTCGAACCTCTTTTTTCGACATTTATAATTAAAAACAAAACTCGAATCCAGGGCGTAATCAGAGTCTTAGGATTCACTGCATCCAACAACATTGTCAGAAATCTTTCAATGATAAACGTCATTTCACCAAAATACAAAGCCATCCCACCTGCATTTAAACTTAGTAACAAGTTTGCATTTTGAGGGAAGATACATCAAACTGACAACTATTCTGAAACAATAAAAGTGACGTCAAAGCAAATGATCTCTCAGAAAATAAAAAGTTGACAAGTTTTCCAACAAAACATTCAGTTTTTAAATATTATGCCAGGTTATCACAAGTATTCTGTGATAAAGTCTTCACAACTACTTATAGAGCTTCTGATTGGATAAATTGCCTTTCTAGCATGATGTGGTTTGATTCACTAGCTACTATTGACAAATATAAGCACAATATTCTACTTAACAAACTATTAATCAGGGATGATTTACATAAAACTACTTAAGTTAAAATTTGTTCCGAACGGACGTTTTTTTCTACGTGTCCTGCGATTAGTTAGTACTTAGATTCGGATATTTTAACTAACTAGGCGGTGTTATGCAGACCAGCCCTGTAGTAGGCTATCTCTGAACAATTTTATTTTTTAAAAGTCGATCTGTTAAATACACTGTACATGTACCATACAAAGTTTCTTTTGATAGCGAAGTGGATCAAGCAAATGCTTAACAATATTATCATTATTGTTATTTTATCATTATTATAAATAAAGTAGAACGGTGGCAATTAAAATAGAAAATATCAATTAGTTCCATGTATTTGTACTCACCTTAACGTTTTGATGGAGTTGACGCTTTGTCATTTATAAAAAAAAAATGCTATTGTTGAGATTTGCAATATTGTTTTTTTTCAATCTTAATTTTTAATTTAATGAGAGAATGAACAAAGGCATGATTTCTACATCAGCTGGTTTACATATTTCGAGCTTGTTGTAAGAAAGAATGAACATTGAATTCTATCTTATAATATATAGTATTGAATATTGTTTGTTGGAACCCCCTTTTTTTACGATCAATGCTTTTGAATGGGGACATATGGTTGGAACCCTCCCCCCTGTTTCTTATAATAGCTGGATCCGCCCCTGCATTGACGTATTCCTTCTTTTCTATTTATTCAAGACAATTACCCATTTAACATTTCCAGCCTGTAGAAAAATGAGAAAGTTTTTTTACCTTCACGCTGTCTACAAAATATTGAAGATTAAAGAAAGTATCTGGTTTACTCTTAAAGCCTGAAGAAAAATCTGTCGATTTAGAACCAAATAAAAATCTATCGAAACACAAATGAAAAGAAGCTGTGTAATATTTCAAACATCTTCATTCAACTTTAGAGAGCGACCATTTGTATTCGGGGGATGGGGGAGCAGGGTTTTTTTTCGCGGACAGAATATTCATTTTTATCTGTTGCTACGCAGGCTTTTTTATAAGCGTGAATTTGCCGCACGAAAATTTATTTCCACTTTCGTACACATTTATTTTACTTATTTTGAAGGCAGAATATTCAGTTTGAGCAAGATTATTTGTTTTCAGTTCTTTCAGACCCAGTATATTTATTTACAAAATCCTCCTCGTCCCTCCCATACAATGAAATGGTCGCGCCTTACGGAAAAATAGTATATGCAAAAGTAGGGTTGGCTTCTGTCGACTTTGAGATTCGAGCAGAAAAACGGACATTGGGTGACCCAGACGACGGATGTTGACCCTTACTTCCATGTAAGAGTGATACACAGGCGACATGAACTGTTAATATAATATAGTTTACAAAATGAGGTACATTAGTCACGTGATAATGACTTACATGAGGAGGTGGTACTGCGTGAGTTGAGATCTCATGTGACAGATTTTGTTCTCTTACCTACAAAAATTGAGATGAACTTGTGAATTATCTCCCTTTCCTTAATTTTGTACAAAAAAATAACACTTATATAGTTTAACATTTTATTCAAACAGATTAAATTTACATTTAAAAAGCAAACTTTCTACGGCTTTCATTGTAATCTTAAAATATTATCTCAAATGAAAATAAATAATACCCCTTTTGAATAACTCGAAATAACTTGTCAAAAGAAACTATTTTACTGCCAAAAAGCATAAAATCTCACTTTTAAAACGTATTTGTATTCATATGGAAATTAAAGCCTATAAGAATTTAAAATATTTATATCACAAGTACAAAACCACCACCGATCTCAGTACACCTATATTTCCCCGTCACCATAATAAAATAATAATAAAAGAAATATTCCTTTTCCATATACCACTTGAACCTTTCAAGGATAATTTCTTTTTGGAATAAAAGTGATAAGTATGTACAAATAAATTTCAATTTCTTCCTATAGACACATCGTATAGAATAGACATACTTTGGTATTTCATTTAAGATTTGTCAACTATCGTTTATTTGTATTTGGTATATTTTATAGGTAATCTCAAAACATATTAGGTTTACATAGAAGCATTTTATTTGAATAGTATGACATTTGTACGACAAAAGCAAACATAATTTATTTTCTTAAGAATTTTAACATTTCAGTCACTTGAAAAGGGCACTCAGTATTTAATGTTATGATTTTTGGTTATATATTTGCACGTTAATTTCCATGGTCAATAAATATAAAGTTAAATATAAAAAATCATGTACTCGACAAGCGAATTTGAGATTCGAATGAAATATATCTTGTAGTTTAAATTTCAAGATAATTAGACCATATTAGATTCACATTAGAATTTAGCAGTTTTGTAAGCGTATGCTTGCACCCTTTCCACCATTTCCCTCAAAAAAGGAAAAAGAAATCTTCAAATAATTCATTTAGAAAACGATCATATACAATACAACTATTGTTAACAACTTTAGGTCTATGCATGGTCAATGAGTAAAACCCTTACCTAAAGTAAGCTGTAAAAGGCTCAAACGAGAAAACATACGGTCTGAATTTATGTAGAAAATAAATAAACAAAAACAAATGTGATACACAGATACTAACGACAACCACTGAATAATTCTGAAAAGAATATTTCTATAAAATTTATCAAAACACGTGTTTAGCTATTCATTATTGATTGATGGTTTTTTGCTTAATGTCCAGTGGCAAATATTTCAAATTTGTTAATTGAACTAATTAGCTAGAATTGCAGTTAGCTGACCGGAGTGTAGGTTGGAAAATTTAGACTTTATACTGCAAAATATGCATGTTCGGAAGGTAGGATGTTCATGCAAAGAGACGTGGCTACGTATTTACGCATCCATCACAGCTTGTCGGATTGGCTATATATATATATATATATATATCTGCTTAAAGTCCAGGTAAACCCAATATCCCTGATGTCTATATTATATTTCATACATGTTGGACACAATGGCAACACAAATTTGATAGTTCTTGTATAATACATCTTAAAGTTTGCTTTTATATATGAATTGATATTCTCACTAATAATTACCTATGATGATGATTAACTTGGGCGATGGAAACTATGGCTATGTTAAAAATAAATTCCAATTAAGTGTAATCTGCTAGATGACGTCTATGAAAATATTAAACATTGTCAAAGCTATTAAATACTTGTATATTAGAAATGTTTTGTTGATAAAATGTATAGAATGAAGTTAGGTTTCGTTATAGAAATAACTAATATCATGTTACTGGGTTTGATTTCTTCATAGTTAGTGATTATCAATTCACCGCCATCAACATTATCCTTTCAATAGTACAACATATAAAAAAATCTTATTTCATACAAGGTGAATTGATTTAAGATAGGTTTTTCCTTTTGATAGGATTTATATGTTTGAATGACATTTCTTTTACTTACAACAACGTTCTCGACCTTGATGTATGATTTCTTATAAGACGAAATTGAAAAAAGTGGTATGGCCAATTGTTCCTTAATTGCTTCACTCTGAGGGTCAAAATTAAAAAAACTTTCATGAAACTTAGTGGAAATAATCATATAAGAGTTTAAACGGTATACTTTACAGATCTTTTCATAAATTTTTGTTTTAATTTCGCATCGAAAGACAGCCATTATAACTTAATTCAATGACATGAGATTTGTATCTGAATCACTAAATATTTGCTATGATTTATTAGAAAAGCAGTTTTAACCATCTTTAGACATTTGCAGATTGGCTATATAATTGGTTAGAATAATTTCTATTGTATAATCATGTTTTCTACATATTGGTATTGATAATATCAGTTGAAAGTCACAATATGACTTTTTTTCGACTGAGTGCATTGAACGATTTACAACTTCATGGTGTGTCTAAGGCAATTTTAACCCTTGTAGGTATGTTGTTGCAAGATAAGTCTATGTCTGTTGAATCAAAAATCAATTGCCACTAGCAACTCTTAAGCCAACCACATCTAAATCATACGATGTCAATCGTTATCGAATACGTATGCTAAAATTTTATTCCATAGCAACAATTAAAATGGCTCATTCCATTATTTAAAGACATTTACAAGGAATATTATTTACTAAATGTACTGTAAGCAGGTAATTAAGTGAGCACTATTGTAATTTGTATATCAACATTGGATAATGCAGTAAGATACTGTATTTCAATGTCATAGCTATTCGCTTACAAAGTAATTCATGCCCTGTTAAAAATGCTAAATATTGTTAAAAGAAAAAGCTTTTTTCAACATTTTACATATGAAAACCTTTTTAAGTTAAGCTTATGATTAAAACAAACTATGGCTAGCCGCTACAAGAACATTTATACTTTAGCTCGTTTACCAAAAACCTGCTTACCGGATTTCTTTTTAGTTGGTCTTGATAGTAATTGGAAGCGTAAGGCTTAAAATTGCCTTCATGCATTTCAATGCGGTCTAAATCTTTCCTCCTTTGTGGTTCTCCTCGTCGGTCACGGTCGTCCTGTTGGTATTCAGGCCGACCCCTCTCATCAGGATATCTGTCCGTATGTTGCCCTGATCTGTATGAGTCGGGTGGTTGCTGATTCATCCTTTGGTCTACATTTTGCTGTCCGGGATGCTCATGTGAACGTAAGGAAACAACTTCATTAAAAAGTCTTGAATTATCCAATTTTAAACCCTCTAATTGTGTTTCTAGCGTTCTTAACTTAGCTGAATGAGTTTCATTTCGATGATCAAATTTATTAAATCGGGAATCATGGTCTGCTAAATTCCGTTCCAAATGCTGCATACGAGAATGATATGTTTTCCATTGTGGATCCATTTTGAAGTAATTTAGTCCAAAAGATTTAAAAATTGAGAGTCACAAATGCCACTAGGTGTAATTAATACCAACTTATATCCTTGTCGTCAAGGTAAACCGAAGACACTTTAACTTTTTCGTTATCACCAAAGGTGTTCCGCACACCAGATTTATTCGAGAGTAATAGATCAGTATTGTATACCTCGCTTTTCTTGTTTACCCTAATGGGGTTATTTGGAAAATATAATACAGGACATTTTTGCATTAGAGAAGTCTTTCATCAATATTGATTTAAGTATTTAATTGATATTAAAATAAAATCTTCCCGCTATGAAAGGTGAATAGAATATTTACATCTCGTAGATTGTAGACTGCACAAAGTACATTGAAATCGATTTTGTCGTTAATGAAACGACAAAAAAAGAATATCTACTATTGATCCTTTCTGCTTTATAATTACGTATGCATAACTTGGTATTTAGTCAGATTACACACTAAAAGATGTAATTCGAATTCGGTAGAATATTGGATTGGTTTACCATTTAAAAATATCTACATTCTGTAATTCGAGGTTTTATGAACTGTTTAAATATTGTAACAATACTTTAATATTTCTATCAGTGTCACTTAAAAGGTAATTGTATGTACCAATTTGTATATTACAAAGTATTTTTACAATGTATGCAAATTAAGATTTAATCAGATCTGTCTTATTGTAGGACTTTTTGTTTCTGTAACTTTACATAGTATCAGCTGGTACGTATGTAATTGCCACATTATTCCAATTATTTTCGAATCATTTCAAAAAGATACTATATCAACATATAAATTAGTACTAACTCGTGCTTTGTCACTATATATTTCAAGTTTAAAGAGATTAAACAACGTTCAAACAGGATGCAATCCTTGTAATATTACTTGACAAAAGTCAGTAAGTAGAAAAAAAATGAGATAAACACTTTATGGATATCGTGCGTTTGAACTTAATTTTTACTTGATTTACCATCAACAGGATTGCTAAAATCTAAACGCTTGATAATAGCGTTTCAAACTCTATTTTCATATATTGTCAATTTTTAACCATTATCATACAATACACTAGAGTAAACATGTTTGATATATAACTACTTATTTTTTTTTTCAAATGATTCTTTTAGAATATTTAACAAATAGTTATTTAGCAACGCATTTTTGAGATATTCATATCAAAGATATTTTGTACATTTTTCTTCTACAATATTCTTCATCATAAATTTATATTGTTCACTGGAAGTTGAAAGAATTAAAATGCCTACCAACAATATTTACAACCTAACATGCATAATATAATTTTGGAATAATACTTGTCTACGGTTTTATTTTATTTTTGAGAATCTTCGCTTGCTTACACTCGAAGTATCATACCATACATATAAGTATGTGTATAACCTTGGTTTTTACATTCCAAGGAAACCATTTAACTTGTGTCTTGTGTCCCTATTTTTTTCACCTCTTACATACATCACATGGGTATTTATAAATTACAGATGATTTATCCATAATTAGTACTTTAATATAGAAAACTGATGGGTTTTTCCTTTTTCTTTTAAAGCTGTTATACAAAAGGAAATAGTGGACAAAATAGAAAGAAAAGTTAAAACAGTAATGAATTTCCCGTGACATACATGGATATAACCAACATGCAGTAACAATATGATACGAGCCACATCAATTTGGAAAAACATACAGAACCAAAGAACAATCTATACTTAAAATTACCAAATTTGTCACTTCTATCCTTTTTGTATCATAGCTTTTATAACCTACGACTGAAATTCGAGCTATCAAGCACGAGTTTTTTATTTCAATACAACATGGTACCGTGTAGACAAATCTGTTAAGAGTAATTTTGTTAAGAATGCTTGAAAAAGTAATTTCTTTGACATGTGTATGACTTCCTTTCCAACACTAAAGATGATCACTAACTATATAGCAAGTATGGCTATCAATATAATATCAACCTAATAAATTTAAGAAAGTTGAGTGTTTACTTTAAATTTTAAACACAACATTGGGTTTTAGAAAAATAAGTATTAACAAAAATTAACTCCAAGGTAGATTCAAAAATGGGGAAGACCATTGAACCTGACAAAAATCAAATATCTATGACTATATCAACCAACAGAACGAATGGAACACAACTACCATATTCCTGATTTGGTACAGTTATTTTCTAGTGGATTAAACCGAAATGTACAAATTTAAATTACTAAATAATGCAAAAATTCTATTGTCTTTGATATTTTGCAGTACATATCTTTGTAAATTAATCTGTTAAAAACTGTTTTCCGATGAAGGGATTTTGGAAGTGAACTGTTAACTCCCTTCCTGTAGTTATTTGGTTATTAAAGTCATGCAATGCTAGATATTTAATAAGATTAGCTACATGTAATTGCATTTTGAAATCAATGCAGTTTCTTTTTTAAAAAGGTTGTTACAAATGAAAAAATGTATAGATTTTTCTCGGAAAAGATATGGTTTGTTTTTCCCTCAGACATAATATATCGCCCCATCATCTGGCCTTGGACACTATTTATTTTGTTTGTCAACTAAAGTATCCGTCTTCCGTAAATTGTTACAACGTACAATAGAGGATAGTTTCACTGTTTTAAAAATTATTTCTACATCTGATTTATGCAGAAGAGTGTTTTAGAAACGACTTGTTAGCGTTGTATAATTTTATTGACTGTCAACTTTATCCCAAGGGTCTGTTCACCAACTGCTTCCATGTGATTGGCTAACAAAGTCATGCCTACAAATGGTGTCTTAAGTTATAAAATAGTTATAGACTTTTTTATTTGGAAAACAACTGTTCATCCTTAGACTTCGCCCTACTGTTATTGTTCTTACAGACCTTCTAAAATTCAAACTGACCATTATTCCGTGCGTTCATCGTGTATCGTGCGTGTTGCGTGCGTGTATCGTGCGTGTATCGTGCGTGTACCAATCGTGCGCTCATCATTCATCGTTCCGTGTATTTTCCGTGTAACGTGCGTGCATCGTGTATTCTTAATCGTGTATGGTGCGTGTATCGTGCGTGTATCGTGCGTGTATCGTGCGTTCATCAATCATTCATTCTTAACCGTGTATCGTGCGTTCGTCAATCGTGTACAGTATAACTGTGTACATCAGATAACGTGTATTTGTCAAACGTTCATCTCTAATCGGGTAACGTTCATTCATTGCGGTTTTTATATGATAGTCGGTTATAGAGCTCACCAAAGCTGATATTTTATATCACGGTTAAAGTGTATATATATGTTCCGACTTTAAATAAAATTTACATTCATACTTACTTTCTTCTGAACACTTAATTAACTTCATCGTAAATAACGTTCATACAGATTCATGAATTTTTGTGTAAAATTTATTTATCATCTGTAAACATTTCGTGGTTATTCAGTGAATTTTGGCTAGGACTGACACATTTTAATAAACTGATACATGTTCTACGTACAAACAATAACATGGTGACATTTCTACGACAGAACAGTTAAAATTGGAATTTCTATTCAACTGAGCAAAATGGGCTTAAAAATATACTGTTGGCCAACTGTTATTTGTTAAAAAATATTCCGCCAATTAAAAGAAGAGAAAATACATATTCGTGTTAAATTCGCCTCAGTTTAATTTGTTAATTCAAGTTTGACATCTAAAATCTTAATCCGCAATCCACAGTCATTTCTTCAATGTTGAACAATGCAAGATTATAATTCTTCGCTTATTTGGCAAATTCATATTCTACTAAATATTCAAACATTTAAGTTTTGGTAAATACCATTACAAATATAATTTTTGTCTTCGTTTCTGATGGTCACGTGCACGTAAGGTTATTCCATTGAGAAAATACAATATACAAGATTGTCGGGTAAATGTGGATTGCGGATTAAGATTTTAGATGTCAAACTTGATTTAACAAATTAAACTGAGGCGAATTTAACACGAATATGTATTTTCTCTTCAACAGTGTTTTTATTCTCTGTTCTTTATTTTCATTTAAAATAAGCTTAATATGTTTTGTGGAAAATTGAATACAAATAAACATATGTATTTGAAGGCATTTTTTAAATTAAACAAGTATAAGATCACGCAAATATATCCCGTATTCCTTAAGAAGGATTTTAAATTGAGGAACTTTTTAAACTTGAAATTGTGTTTACGAGTTTAAGATATTCTTTTTTAATTAAATTTTTTGATGAAATAGTTAAATATATTGTATTATCATAACAAGTCTTTATTTAAATGGAATAAATATGGAACACTTTCTCAGATTCACTTTTCATTGTGTTCATGGTTGCATATCAAGGACACCGTTTTTAATGTATGTCTAAAAGATTAATATCCGAAAAAATAATTCACAATTATTATAGTACTTTGTATTAAAGAATGACGGATTATTTTACCATGGGGGTATTTTTTGTTCCGTTACTGAGGACATTTTTTGTTCTTTATGAATCCATATGACAAATTTGACTCCAATAAGGATAAATTTTATCTTATAGAAAAATCGGTAGTTTTTATCCGATAGATTTTGTGTTCATCTTTATCGGATATAAAATATTGAAAAATACAAACAATTAATTGAAGTTTCGTATGCATCTATCACGATCCAGCAACTTTTGACTAGTATAAAGGGTTGCCTTGGTTTTATAGCTCAAAACGGTATTATTTGTTTTGATTTACATTGGGTTAAATAATGAAATGTATGTTTCAGAAATTTACACAAGTTTGATTTCGGCTTTGACTCCCGGGGACACTATCGTTTACAGTAAAAGACGAAAATCTACACATGTACGTTCTTATAAAAAAGAAGTTGTGGTATGATTGCCAATGTTCATCATTATATCATAATTATTGTACTCCCCCTAATAATGAATCTATAATATATGCCACTGGACGTTAAACGATCAACTATTAATTCATCCATCTTATCCTTTTAGTTTTGTGATAATTTGCATATCAAATACATGAAACAACAGGGGCGGATCCAGCCATTTGAAAAAGGGGGTTCCCAACCCAGAGCAAAAAGGGGGGATTCCAACTATATGTCCCCATTCAAATGCATTGATCGTCCAAAAGAGGGGGTTCCAACCCCCTGAACCCTCTCCCTGGATCCGTCACTGAACAACTGCAGAATTTCACTAAAGTTAGAAGGCCGATATTATTGCATATATAAAACAGACATTAACATCGATCCCTACGTTTTGATCCCCTCACAAAACAACACTTTATAAATTTCATGCATCTATAACGATTTTCTGGATTTGCTTTCACTAGGAACGCTCAATGCTAAATATTTGAAAGCCAAAGAATGTATAAAATAGATAGGAGTGTAGAGCTATATGACCAATAAAGGGCCTATACACATTCACAACATTCTGTGTATTTATGTGTCCGTCCAAAGTCAAAAGCACGTAGTTCAGTGGTTTTCGTAACATCAATTATGTTATATACATGTATTTGGGCTTTTTTTTGTGGCAAGATACATGTAGCTTTGAAATAAAGAAGGCCGTTAGTTTGCTCAATTGAATTGTTTCATATTTTTTTCATGTCGGGGCGGGGCCTTTAATAAACGACTTTACAGTTCCCGTATTTTTTCATTATTGAAGGTCGTATAGATATAACTGCTAGCATTCCTCTTGATTTGAACTTTCTTGAATAGTTGACTCACTAGCAATTATACCACATGTTCTTATTTTTACATAAGCCTTCAATCCATCAAAAGCCAATTTAGTCTGCTGTAGCTAAAACCTACGTTTCTTAAAAAAAAATCTAAATTTATATACTGACAATTTAAGAAATGTTTGTCATAGATATCTGTTCGTGATATAAGTATCAAAATATTTTAGCTATGAAGATGTGTAAACCCTTAAATAAACCCTATTTCTGTGGGCAATACCTACAGGAATTAAATAATAAAAACCATTATTAGAAAATCGGAATATATATGTGTGTATGACTCGGAGGTGCAATGGAGATCATAAAGTTTGATGGCCACGCGTGAAGTGCGCTGGTCTGCGCCGAAGTGCGATGAGCTGTTCGATGGTTTGCGATGGTTTATATAACGCGGGATACCTAGATTAAAGTCTACAGATGTGCAATTATTATGAGCAGTATATTTGTTTCAATGTCAGTATATAAAGCATTTACTAGTGTTATTGTCTATGAATGTAATAGATAAAGTTGCCGCGTACTAATTTAGAGATATTCCTATTTGATGTTTTGCATGTGGAAATTATTCTTGCTTCAACATGTATCTTTACTTAATTTGTTCCTCTAATGAGATCATCATTTACCGTTATATAATCATAAGAAAAGTTTCACGGTGGACCCGTATGTATTGAGGGAATGACACTTCATCGTACGAAAAAACAAATCTTTCGTATATTTCCCGTTTCACAGTCCTACATGTATATTGAATTTTACCCACAATTCAGAAAGTTGACCAGCGCGGGGTATGCTTAAACCTCTTATTCTAGATGTCAGGTACTTACTCGTGTTTATGTTGGATTGCTGTCTGATTGACGAATATCCGTCATTCTAAATATATATATAACAAACAAATTTAAATATATATATATATACTTTTAAATTTGTTTTTTAGGGATGCATCCAGTTGCACCTTTTCATTTAAAATATATTTCCGTGAAGTAATCTCAAAAGATTACTCACTTCAATAAAAAATAAATAAGGGAAATGAAACCTCTTCTCTCATGTTGCACTTTGTGTAATTGTTCTCTTCGACAAAATACTGCCTTGAACTCAATTTTGGTATAAATATAAAGAAGCCACATTTGGTTCTTAAATGGATATTTTTTAAACACCTAAAGCTAGGTAAAGCCTATGTCTTGATATAGGCTCTTAAATTCGGCAACTTTTAGAGACCGACCGTGCTTGGGCTGTATAGCCAGTCAAGGTCGCTAAACTCTCATTATCCGTTTAGAGATTTTCTGAAAATACGATGGTTACTGTCTCATTAGAAACTAAAACCTTATCAAATATGGTGGCCTTCGGCTGTCATCTGTTCTTTTCGGGTTGTTGTCTCTTTGACATATTCATCATTTCCATTCTCAATTTTAAAATAACTAAAAATATGATAAACAGTTGTCAGATCAATATTCATTTAACAAGCCAGTGCGTTGATACAGGTTATATTCTACTGAATTTACTATATCCGTTATTATTACGTAATTATATAAGTCCCGTGTCCAGGTAAAAATAACAATTTGTGGTTTGTATGTCAGGTGAAAGTGACAACGGGTGTTATGTATACTAAAATGTTTATCGTCTTCCATTATACATGAGGGTGTGGATAGGGGTTTATAGAATAGAAAATTATTGACCGCATTGCACTGAATAATTTCAACTACCATTGAGATCGTTTTTTTTTCAAATCTCCTTATCAAATTAGAAATGCATTTTAAAAAACCTTGGGATATCTTTTACAGTTTGGAATTGGAATTGGAATTAAAAATTGCATTTCCCAAAGAGTTTCAGGTAAAACCCCGAGAATCTCACCTCCTAGAAATTTGAAGTGCCAGGACGTTTGAAAATATGTATGAATTTTATTACATACTTGAAATTGTATAAGGAATATAAAAAGATTCAGTATGTTTACTGTACAAACAAACAACGGACACCAAGTGATGGATACAATTGTGGCTTATATTGTTTAATTCATTTTTACTGAGAGCAAAATTTGATTGATTGATTATTCAGTGGTTGTTTAAACGTCCAGTGGCTAAAATTTCATGCATATTCAGGACGAAAAGTCGTTTCAGAAGTATATTATGAAGTATTTGGTATTACAAATGTTTAAATTTTCTCATTATTTGGTAAATTTCATTTTCTTAGCTATTTCTAATTAATTTGTACGAATCAGATTTTTCTGACAAATTATATATTTTGCTCTAAATTAACTCATACGATTCTGATAATATAAGGAACATTGTAACTTAAGTAAAAAAAAAAGAGATTATGATTGTTTAATCAGTTGTTATGTATGTTCGCTCGTGTCAGTCGGATCACTGATTTTCGGCAATATCAAGGAAAAACCGGCACGTTCCAAATATTGTTCAACTACTCATTTAATGGTGATTCTTTTTCTTTAAAAATTGGAATTTATGTAATAAAAATCTATCTATCTCTACCATAGTATGAAAACAGAGTACAAGTAACCCGTCCTTTCTAGTCCTTAGTGGCATATTATAAGTCCTTAACAGTGTTTAGACGTATAGGCAGAAAACAGTCGAAGGCCACCAATGGGTAGAAAAATCCCGCACCGAAGGCGTTTTTCAGCTGGTCCTTAAACAAAAATGAAATATTTCCTAAATTTCGGAACGTAAACATATGATAATTAATTAGTTAAGGTTACAAATTTAGGCAGTTGAAAGAAGGGTGGGGGGGGGGGGGGGGGGGGGTGTCAATGCATTTGAATGGGGACATATGGATAAAACCACCCCTTTTATCCTGGGTTGAGAACCCTCTTTTTAAAAATGGCTGGAATCGCCACTCTTTAAAACGTAGCAATTTATAAATTATTTATATTAAGTAGAATTATAAAATCGATGAGTTTTATAATTTGTCAACACTCATTGATATTGGAAATACTATACTACAATTAATTTATTTATACATGGAGTGTTTAGAAAAACTGTCGACCAATCAACACAGAAAGCGAGATATCTAAAATTTGTATACCCTTATAGATTTTCATTATCATACATCAATTTCAAATGCAATTCCAAATAAAATGGCTTTGAGAACCGTGTATTAAGCGCTTATCGTTCATTCGTCAATGAATCATTCACCGTGCGTGTATCGTGCGTGTATCGTGCGTGTATCGTGTGTTCATCATTCATCGTGCATCGTGCGTGTATCGTGCGTTTATCATTCATCATTCATTTTTCGTTAATCTTCCGTGTAACGCTCATCGCTCATCGTGCGTGTATCGTGTATCGTGCATTCACCGTGCGTGTATCGTGCATTCACCGTGCGTGTATCGTGCGTGCGTGTATCGTGCGTGTGGTCAGTTTGAATTTTAGAAGGTCTGTAACAGGTCAATTCAAAATATATGTTATCCAGTAACTGGTTTAGCAGGGATGTGCTCCTTACTCACAAACTACTCCAACAGAGTTATGAGCAAGAACGACTGAAATCGACACTTCATAAGTTAGACGGTCATAAATGGACCGTTCGTGAACCTACTCCTTTATATCATTTACTACGACTAACATGTTTTTCTGCATTTTTGTATAATATGTTAGCTCGTAAATTTCCAATTTAATTATCAACATCTCAAAACTTATCTGGGATTTGTCATTCAAATTTGTACTGATTGATACTAGCCAATCAGATTTACAATTTATATTTTTCTTTTGCTCAACACAGTTACAAGCATTAGAAACCTTACAAATTTACAACAATGCTGCATGAACTCTTGATATTTTCCATAGATAAAATGCAACTTTAATTTTGAAACACGTGTATATGTATGAACCCGTCTCCCTTCAAAGTGTTTGCACTCTTAATGACTGTAAACCAACTAATTTTCGCGAGGAATATATTTTCGCGACTTTATCGAGTAGAAAAATAACGCGATTATAAAAAGCGAAAATTTAAAACTTGGATCTTTCCCTATTTAACAAAATCAAGTACATGTAAATATGAAAATCGCGAAATTTAATCGCCGCGAATTGGGCTAGAAAGAGCTAAACGCGAAATAAAGTATACGCAAAAATTAGTTGGTTTACAGTACGTGACCGTCTCCTTTCAAAGTGGTTGCACCCTTGGTTATGTCTAGATAAATTAACCAAGAATATTGCAGTTTACCCTGTTTTGGAATGCGTCAACCTGTATTGAGGTTAAATAATACGAAATGAAAACATATTTGAAGTACTAAGTGATAACATCAATACAAGTAACAAATATTATTTCAATTCAATTATCAATAAATGTTAAATGTTCTATACGAGAAAATACACACGATGATGATTTAAACTATCACGCATGGTGGGTTACAGTTAATCTTACTAGCATTGGTATTTTGGTAGTTCCAGGGGGAATAAAATATAAAAATTAGTGACTACCTCCAAAATCAAGGGTTATAACAGAGAAACTTTACAGAATTCAATGTCCTCATTTCATTTTTTTTTAAACTATATTAATTCTTTTTGTATATGTGGAATTCGTATATATTTTTAAAATAAAATGTATGTACAATTTCCTGTAAATTTATCAAAATCCAATGGACTTCTTTAAAAAGAAATGAACGCCCTGACCGGAACAGGTCATGTCATTACGATTGCTTAAAATAAAGATGTTGATGATAGTTACATTGTAAACAAACTCACCTGTCGATCAAACTGTCCTCTGTAAGGTTTTGGCTAGAAAACAAACCAGTGGTTAATTGATTAATTTTTTTTTTTTAAATATTTGTTTAATGTTTTTCTTTTAAAATACTTCAATATTTATTAAACTGATGTGGTATGATTCTTCCCGTATAATAGAACGGTAAAGCTTTATCTTATATCGGTACATTTGGCACGAAAATTGTGTCTGTCTATATATTTAGTTATAGATTCAAATGGAACAGAATTGAATGACTTAAGCGATTAATCAAAAACTGATTTACACGCATTTTAGCATTTGAATATGTACAGTTAATGCAACGTATTATGATTTTTTTTAATAATATAAGCTCACCATATTATCTAGTTTAGGAGTAGTTTCAAACTGAAATGAGAAGAAAAAAAAAATATTATTCGATTGTTTCACTATCTGACCATGTCTCTTTAGAAATTCAAAGGAAACAAATGGATGGAGACAAAAACCGTCTATAAAATCAAAAACAGCTACCCAATATAGAAGCCTCCTGAGCTAAACAAGGTATTTCAATTGTTTGTAAAATATCAACCCCTGCATGCTGCTTATATAGAAATAAAGAGATTAACTGTATTTGCATTCAGGTGTCACAGGTCAAATTTATTCGTTCATTGTGTGTTAATTTACGTTTTTTGATTGAGTTAAGCCTTCCAATTGATATTTTATAGTGTGTTTTTCTATGTTGTGATGTTATACTATTGTTTCAGAAAAGGGAGAAGGTTTGGTACCGTTAAAACGTTTAATCCCGCTGCAAATGTTTGCGCCTGTCCTAAGTCAGGAATCTGATTACAGTAGTTGTCGTCTGTTTATGTAGTTCATACGTGTTTCTCGTTTCTCGTTTTTATATAGATTAGACCGTTGGTTTTTCCGTTTGAATGGTTTTACACTAGTAATTTTTTGGGGCCCTTTATAGCTTGCTGTTCGGTGTGAGCCAATGCTCCGTGTTGAATGCCGTACCTTGACCTATAATGGTTTACTTTTATAAATTGTAACTTGGATGGAGAGTTGTCTCATTGGCACTCATACCACATCTTCCTATATCTATATATGATATAAATGCCAATGAGGCAATTATCAACCAGTGCTCAAATGATGAGAATGTAAACAACTGTTGGGCACTGCACGTCCTACACCAATATTTCGTATGTTTTTGAAAAGAACCAAGGGGAACACAATCACTGTCATGAAAAACGACTAAAAAGATGTAGATATAAATAAGAAGATGTGGTATGAGTGCCAATGAGACAACTATCCATCCAAGTCACAATGTGTAAACAATTATAGGTCAAAGTATAGTCTTCAACACGGAGCCTTGGCTCACACCGAACAACAAGCTATAGAGGGCCCAAAACAGACTAGTGTAAAACAATTCAAACAGGAAAACCAACGGTCTAATCTATATAAAAAAGCGAGAAACGAGAAACACTTATGAACCACACCAACAAACGACAACCACTGAACAACAGGCACCTGACTTAGGACAGGTGCATAAAAATGCAGCGGGTTTAAAATACTATATATATCCGAATTTGTTTTGTTTTGTGAACAACATGCCGAACTGAACAATTCTCAAAATAAATCCAAAGACGCATCAAGATCATGAAAGGTTGTATCAACTGGGCACATTTGGCATCATTTTATAACAAATGTTTTAAAATAATTTAAATTTAATGGTCTTTTTTGTCATGACTATGGATATGCAGCCATTGGCGTAATTGTATTTCTATCTTTGGTAAACGAACAAGGTAACTACCCGTAGATTCAAAGATTGTGAATTTTATAAGAAATCTTAAAAAGGTATCCAATGAATTTTTAATGCTTACATTTGTACCTTTTAGATAACTTAACATATAAATAAAAACTACTCTTTACAATACATCATATATAATAAGACTTACATCTCCGTAATCTTTCTGCGTAGGTCTGTATCGGTCATACTATGTGAGAAAATGAAAAATATATTTATCAAATTTCTGTTTATTTAGGTAATACTGTAATTTAAACCATAAATTTCTCCTATGAACTTTATTTTTGAATTGCGCTATTTTTTCACTATAGTTTCATGGTATAAGAACATTCATTATATTGCACTACAGGTTGGTTCTGTGGTTTTTATCTAGTCTGATTATTTTTCATCCACATTTCTGCAAGTTCGATAAAAGTTGAAATTTAACAAAATATTACACTAGAGAACTATCATACGTATAAAGCTAAATTGGATAAACCAAAATATGTTTCGTCTGAAAGCAATTGAAACTAATCATGGCATAAAAACCTTAAAATTACTTTTAACTAACATATTTATTGCAGCAACTGGATCATATTGTGGATAGGCAATACATTCTTATCGATAAAGATTGTCTAATTGTCTATATTGTTTACATCAATTTCAGGTTCATCCTATGACTTTAAAAATATTGCTTGTATTGTTTATAGGCAATGAAAATTTCAAATTCTGCAATAATGAATTTTCTAATATTATTGTGATAATGAAACAAATTTCAACAATGAAATCGGTTTTACACTAACGTATTCCTCGAAACGAGTTAATTTCTATGTTCTATGATTCATCTGATTAGAATAGAAATCAGTTGCTGAAGAGTCATTTATTTATATTTGATACTGACAGCTACCAAAAATGTACTATCTATTAACATTTGTAAAGACTATTTTAAACATTTAAATTTCGCTGGACCATGTTGTCACATATACGCTTACTTAAGTGTTTCTTAAAACATTTCACAGGATCGTAACTCGAAAGCTTTTATGATATCAAATGGATTATAATCAGTTATGCGAGCATGCACTGACAATATGTTGAACGGTAGCTACCTACCATCGTGCAGTGGTGCTTTTGAATGTCATTAGGTATGATTGTATAAAGGGAAGTTAATCTGTCATTGATGTTAATGTCAAGATACATCGATTATATCAAGTTAAAAATACTAATAATCGTTAAATTATGCATTACAGGTAAGATAAACAGAATATTTCACACAGCACACGTTGTTTAAAGAACTAACTTTTCAAGGTTAAAACTGGAGAATCAACATAGTGTCAATAAATAGCATCATAAAATTTCAATTCATAAAATAATCAACCAATCAGAATGGCAGATTCATATGAAATGCAATTCATGAATATTCAAGATAAATTTCAGTTTAAATATAGAATTAAATGCTGTTTTTGAAAATTTAAAGCAAGTGACCATCACATTTTGCCCTTCCTCTGTTACTAAGCCTCACACAAAAAAGTTGATATTTTTATTACATTGACATTAAATAAAGCATATAATTTTTTGCAAGAAGTACACGAACAATGCTAAAATTTAGTTTTTGGTAGGCGGAGTTATTAATTCTAGGGTAGCTTTCATATCGCATGGGATGTATTCGTCCGAAATTAAACAATATAACGGAATCAAATTATTTGTCTTTTAGTCAACAAAAGAGAAGCATTTGTATAAATTGAATAACTATAGTATATATTAAAATGTTATTATTAACCAACTTACTACAATATGTTTAGAAATGCCCATGCTTTATAAAAGGAAAATTTCGACAACTGGTCATTATGAACGGAGAAATTGCTACAGCCATGCATTACGAAATCTCAGTCATGCATTACGAAATTACACCCGTGCATTACGAAATCACAGCCATGCATTATGAACAGATGAAACGGGACATGGATTAAATCAAAATGTCGTTTATTTCTTCAAATAAGTGACAACTTTTAAAAAAAAATTTTAACTTAATATCATAAAAAAAAGTTTAAATGATGTTCAGTGTTTTGTAACGACTTGAAACGGAAATATTACACAGCCTTTTTCGAGTACGACCTTCGATTATTATCAAAATTTCATTTCCGTTGATTAATTATCAGAACGCAGACTACTCAGAGTAAGAAAAGTTTAACTGTCTGATTTCTTCTTCCCAGCTACTTTATATTTGCTAGATGAAATGAATTGTAATAGCATAAAATAAAGTACTTGGATGAGAAATCAGAAATTACATCTGACAATGTTGACCAAAAATCCATCGTGAATGCGAAAAGACAAGTTCAGCTATGAATTCCTGTATCTTCTTCACGGTAAGATTCTTACTCTTTGTTTAATCGAAGAATTAAAACCATTTACGGTAATAAAAGTGTTCTGAACTGGCTTTTTTTGTATTGGTCCTGTTATAGATTCGTGGTTAGCTGTATTTGGATCCGAGACTCGAAGACTGTTCTTGAATAAAGTTGCCTTAGTTGGTTAATAAAAGTATCAATATATGGACTTTTTCATATTGGCCCTGTAACATGCCCTTGGTATTAATAATGGCCTCGGACAGTTGTAATGGCCCTCGGCGCTGCCTCGGGGCCATTACAACCATCCTTGGCCATTATTAATACCTCGGGCATGTTACAGGGCCAATATGAAAAAGTCCATACATTAATACTATAATATAAATACGGAGACGAATCACAATTAAATTTGTTAGTTGTTTTCGTGTGATGTTCACTCTTGCCCAATACAAGTTGAGTATAACATTAATGTGTTAATATATTATGTAGTAGAATAGAAATTTCAGAAAAAAAACGATAACCTCTTCATCAACTATCACTTGATCTGCCATGGCACGATTGTTGACATAATCTTTGGATTTATACATATCATTTCTTTTCTGTAATGCAAATAAATCATTTGGGTAATCGAACTTAACAATTTGTCGCATGTAATGATGTTGTTGGTTATACATCAAAATTGGTTTTAAATACGTTGCATAATTTTGGTGGGATCTTCAGTGTAATTGCGTGTTGCCTGTTTTATTTCAATGTCACAGATCTGGGGTTAAAGCAACAATCTATTATGTTTGGTCAAGGTGCGACTACGAATTCGAACACATACTAAAAAACTTCCAAATATTCTGTTGGTTTTGTTATTTTAACTGACATCGTGATAGTGGATATTAAATCGAGAACTATATTTTAAATTTGATTGATTTTAAACCAAATGGGTATTTCTAAAATTGAAAAAAAATATCGACCAATAAAATAAGTATCATTGAATTTTAGAAAAGATAAAAATAAATCAGGATGTGAACAATTTAATATATCAAAGAAAAATACATCGCCACCGAAAAATAATGATATTATCATAACATTTACAATCTATTTTGGCTGCTAATGGAGACCAACTATGTTCTGGCTATTAAAAAAACCCAAATTGATCAACTAAAAATACCATTTTTTTTCACTTTAAAAGGTAATAAAAATGATGTGAACAATAATAAATATTACCAGTGATACTAAACAATAGAACATGAGGCACCATGATGAAAGAGGAGAATATCGGACCGATGATTCACAAAACCATATTTTTGTAAATTTCAAGATATACGTCGGATAAAGGTAGATAAATGTGGTTACTAAACAACGAAGTTAAATCTACGAACATATGATATATAAAGCTATCTTACAATCTTCAGCTATACATAAGCTCATACATAAATTAGCAACAATAAGTCACCTAGTCAATAATGTATCAGTTCAAACGATAAAACCGTAGCTACTGAAGACCATAAAACTACATTTTCTGGCAACCAATACAAAATAATACATGCAGATATCAAGATAAACATCTTTTTCTGCTCTGTATTTGTCGCCCAGTTGTAACTATTGTTTGTGCCTTGATTCATACTAGCAATTGTTATTTACATTATGAGAAGTATATTAACTTAGCCATCTGCCTAGCGACAAATAAATGATACCCGACTTATGAAGGGTCCACCGATTAAGTTAAAGCCATATTGTCCATCCTGTATATGTGGTAATTTGAACACAATCTTCTTTTTTGTCTGGCAAATGATCAAATAAGATACTTTACTTGGTGTGTAAATTACGCATGAAAGTACTAATCATTGTATTACGCGAAACAAAATAAAATCCGGGAATCAAAAATTCTTTTTACAATACACTTGTGTATATGTGAATTTGACATACATTTGTTTCACATGGGTACAGTAACTGTTTGCTTGCTGCATATGAAAGTATTTATTATACTTGCATCCTTATGTTTTGGTGATATGAGTGTTAATTTTTTGAAAGAAATGGTTCAAATGCTAATATATTCATTTGTAAGCACATTGACTTGATTGAATACCGTTGGAAGTTTTTAACAATATCGAAATGAAAAATACCTTCAATTGATTAATTAATTGTTGGTTTTTCACACCACTTTCAGCACTTTTGGCTATATCATGGCGGCCAGGTCTAATAAGTAGAGGAAATAAGGTACCAAAAGAGTACCACATACCTTCGGTAAGAAAACTGGCAAACGTGGTCAACTAGGATCTGAGTCGAACTCACCTTGCCACGAGAGGGTTGAAACTCATAACCTCGGTGTTGACAAGCTAGTGAACGCCGTATGTGAACTACTGAGACCACCCGGTCACCGAGACCCAAAATAAATTTTTAAATATCATATTGATTGTATAAAACATATGACTATGTGCATTCTTCGAGGTAAAATATGTGCCACCTACTACAGTCCCATTTGTTGAGGAAAAAATTCAGCCGTGGTTGTTCAACCTACTATTATTTGTGACTTTGGTCCGTACAGCACGAAATATACATGTTTTTTTTAAATAAACTATTATCTAAAGATCTACTTTCCTTACCTTTGGTTCATCTCTTCTGTCGTGTCTCTGCAAGTTAAATAATGTTTTGTTATCAATTGTACACAAATTACCATGTACTGAAGAAATTTGATAAAGCTGAAAATTCCCTTCCTACTGTCTAGTATTAAAACAAACCAGTAAATTTTCTTCTAAATAAGAACATTTTGGGAGCTGTAGAGACATATGATATTAATGTTATATTCATACTGATAAAACATTTTTAAGTATTCTTAACTGAAGAAATTAAAAATAAACTACATATATTGAATCCTTACGAAAAAAAAACCCATCAAAGTTAAATAAACATTTTGGAGTATTTGCTTTCTATAATTAACTTTTGTCTCTAATATTTTATTATTGTATTTTAGCCGTGATAATAAGTTTTAATGATCGTGAAAAATGTCTGAGGTTTATGCTGTTTTTTAAAGCAAGAGTAGATGAAAGGAAGGTGAAGAATGAAGAATATTTTTTGATAAAATGCAGTAAAAAAGTTATTAAATATTATGAGACATTAACTATACTATATGTATTGCATCTACTAATAAATGTTACACATTTACAAATAAACGTTCGATTAAATTTTAATTGACTAATTCAAGTAATTATGTAGCATACATATATAAACGATATAACCTAAGAATATCAATTCACAAAGAAAATTGGCATTGGCCTATTTGTTTGATTAATATTGAGTTTGTTGTAATAATTAAAAATAACATTAACTGTCATTCTGTCCTATATAAGCATGACAACAGATTTGGGATGAAACAGAATGGTTTCTAATGAGTATACAAATAAGCAGAAGTGGTATGATTATCAATGACACAACTCTCCACCAGAGACCAAATGACGTAGGGGAGAGTCAGGATGATAATATACGTGTAGTATCATACCCGATATGTAAGGTTACCATGGTCTAAATAGCTGCGATTATAACCCTGTAATACACAAATATTGTTATTTTCATTTTTGAATTGTTTTTACTGCTCGTTTCATTTTAGTTTCGACTGTATGTTTACGAAACATTTCACTTGGTTTCATTTTCTATTTTTCTTTGCATGACATCAATTGCAATTATGACTTTTCGCATGTGTTTCAGTATTCTGATAAATATAACATTTCACCAAGACATTATTTATTCTGATATAAAATGCACAAAAGATGGTTTTATTTTTTCGCCAAATTTTTATCGCGAGAATAGCAACCAATAGCTCTTGATATTGTTCAAAGATTATTTTTTTTTTATGAAATTAATGTGTTTATAAATAACACAGAAACTACTTACTCTATCTGTTTGTGATCCATCCTCGTAACCCTAGAGATTAAGAACATAATTTTTATATTAATTGCAATAGAAGAATATCGTTATGACGGCTCCTATGTCTCAAAAATGGAAAAAAAGTAATCTTCATCTTTTAAAGGTGTCAATAAAGCCTATTCATTTTTTCTGAGAATATGTAAACGACCATAGGAAGAACTGTCTACTTTTTTCAAAATGTCAATTATGTTAAACAATAATGACCATACTGATACTTTAAACCGATTAATTAATGTTTGCAATCTATCGTTAAAATCTGCAAGCTCTAGCTTAAAAAATACGTTTATAGCAAAATATATATATATAATGATTATTTTTTAATTTGGACAAACTAATTTCCTTAAGAGATGATAATATGTAAATAAAGAGAACTTTGAGATGAAATCGATATATTGTTATCGCACTACTTTATCCACATTTGTTAACAATAATTAGTAATTATATTACGATGTGTTTTGATTTTAATCTGTTGGTTTTTTTTTATTTTGGGACTGATAAAAGAGAATGAATTAAGGTAGGTAAATACATGTGAAATACTCACCCTTCCTCTGTCCATATCACCATATCCTCTCTGAAATAAATTATGGTGAAAGTTAAACTTGTAGTTTATGTATACAAATATTCATAAGTACTAAACATACCATACACAAATATATAACAATATGATTATATAAACATTTCAATGAAATATAGCATTTTTCTGAGAGAATAATATTTTGAAACTTGCCTTTTATAGCTGGCTTTGTTCTCATTTACATTTTAAGACATTCTATTAAAGTACATTAGTTTTTGCCGATTGAAAAAAAAATCTTGTTTGAATCACAACCTGGACTGATTTTATATATCACAATCTTCACAATTTTAAGATATGTGTAACTCACCCTGTCTGTCATAGGTCCATCATGGTATGCGTCATGATGCTAAAACAGATACAGAATAGTACATTTTATGATACTTTCTAAAATACATTGTGTGTATGATTGTTAATTTGTTGTTGTTAACGCCATTTTAAGTGCCCTTGGTTATACAATGGTTCACAGTTTTTTATTAATGGCAAAAGCTGGGGTACCCGAGGAAGCCCAAGATGTTCGGCAGGAAAACTAACAATACTTGTCAATTAAAATTAGAGTCGAACACACATCGCTTCATGTATGAGGAGTGTTCCAATTTATATACTTGGATTTGACAGTCTAGGGATCACTGTAGAATAACAACTTGAACAACTGTCATATTGAAGGTGTAGCTAGCTTTAAAACCAGGTTTAACCCACCATTTATTCGGAAAATGCCTGTACCAAGTCAGGAATATGGCAGTTGTTTTTCACTTGTTACGTTGATTGAAAGCGTTTGATTTTGTCAGTTTTTATGGACTTCCCCTTTTTAAATTTGACTTGGAGGTTGGTATTTTTGCAATTCTTTTTTAGACCTCAAAAGTAAATATTGCACGAAAGTTTTCTGTTCGATGGGGAGTAATCTCGCGAATTTCGAATGTAATAAATATTTTTTTCTAATATTCAGATATCGTCAATGAAGCAGCATCAATTTAAATGTGTTATAGGCAATTGTGTTCCATTGTGAATACTGCTTCCATTCTAGACAAGAATATCATGCATCACAGTTTGTAGATATAGGCAGAACATAATTTAATTTTAAATGGTTTCAAAAACCAAAAACTTTATTGTATGATATATAGTACTTATTATTTTTTATCTTGCCGCTGTATTACCATTTGCGCTTAAGACGATCCCAATCAATCAATTAATCATCATTTGTCAGTAAGACAGAACTTATTAAAGGTTCTTAGTTTAGTATGTTTCCTATTATTTATTCTTTTATACTTTTGATGATACGAAGATATCAAAGTTATGAGTATCAATAAGATTATTTTACTAGATCAAAATGGTATGTTTGATGAGTTTTTTCAACCGCCGGGTCGATGACACTGATGGTGCATATTTCGTCCCAGAGTGTTTCTTTAGTCCAGTAGTCAGCACTTTGATTTGACATGAAATATTGTCAATATTGTCATTTTATGAAAATATTCTGTTCATAAAATTTTAAATTAATGCAAAACATTAATGCTGTTCTACCACAGAAATAGATGTACATTGCATTATTTGGCACAACCTTTAGGAATTTTTGGTTTGCAATGCTCTTCAACTTTGTGTTTGATTTGGTCATTCACCTTTTTTTTTTTCGAGCGCCACCCATGAATTTGATGTAGACACCAGGTTACGTTTTGTTTTACATACTAGAATTGCAAGTTTCGGTTTTACACTTCAAGTCAAAAGTAAAGTAAAGAGAGAATATTTCGTTGTCAAAATTGAAAAAAACGAGAAATTCGATTCTTATTACAAGTCTTTAACGTAAATTGCAATATGGAAATCAGGTATTGTTCTTTTTTAATCGTTTTTAATCTCTTCTTTGGAATGTATCCGCATTATGACTCCTTTTATATAGCACAGAGTTGCTGAACTACCTTGTTAATATAGTCATAAAAGCAGATTTTTAAAAGATCTTTCTGTGACAAACAAAACCCAAACATTCTCTATACATGAAAGCCAACAATCACTGTCGATCACCAATGTTAAAATCTCGTACAGCAATTGTGAGTATACGAAAAAATAGTTAAAAGTACCTACCTGAAATCGCATAAAATGGGTACGCTACTCCTGCTATGCATGCATTTTGACTTGGATGGAGAGTTGTCTCATTGGCACTCATTCCACATCTTCTTATATTCTATTATTATGCGAATCAACATTTATCAACAATTTCGCGATTTGAATTAGAACACAATCCATAAATTTACAAATTAGACGACTGATAAGTTGACTACGGACACATCGTTTCCGTCAAACATTCCATGGTGTTGAACGTTAAAAATGATAGGCGAAAGGTACCAAAGGGACATGCAAACTCATAAGTCAAAAATAAAACTGACAAAGCCATTGGAAAAAACCAAACACGACCCAAAGGATTAAAAACTATATACAAAACACAACATACAATGTAGAAAACTAAAAACTTTGATACACTTAAACTTTCGTAGTGAAGACATAAGTCACCCTACGACAGAGTAAACTTACTGGTTGCCTTTCTCTTCCGTACTCATGCATTTCATGCGCTTTCTACAATTAACCAATCAAGAAAAGGGTTAAATACAAGATTTAATTTTATAATATGTTTTTGTTTTAGTTAGCGTTACGTTTAATTGTATACAATTCCACATTGCGTCTATAAGAGGAGGATTTTATTTAAGTTTTAGAGTTACAGAAGAAAGTATTTGACGTTATTGATTAGTTATCGGATCCGTAGACGTAAGTTAATGAGAGCGATTTGGTAAGGTTTCGTTTTGTTAAATTGGTAGAATTTCAGTATGTGTGCATTGATCATCCTTTCAGCAACATTTCTTTCATTGAAAACCTACCGTCAACTATTGCAGTTACACGCCTATCTTCGTAAAGCATATACTACATGCCATTCGCATAATTAAAAGAGTAATAAACAAACACGAACCATATCAAAGACTTTAGATTGTGTGATAAGAAATGTAAGCACTTGTTTGAAACAAATGCAACATGCTTAAAAAGAAACTACAAGCAATAATATACCCTACACAATCAATATGAATATAATGTGATGATGTGCATCATAAATATTACTTGGCAATTTTCGTCAATGCTTTTCAACTTCGTACTTGTTTATGCCTTTCAACTTTGTTTATTAGAGCCTTCCTGATGAGTCTTAGTATGTAAACTTAACGTGCGTCTGGCGTAAAAAATCAAAAGCCCGGTATCTTTGATTAGTTGTTTTTTCTTTGTTAATAGTAAATAAGCAACTATTTTTGGCTTCGCAACATCTGTAAAAATGATTGTCAAAAATTTATTTCGATTTTTGTTTAAGTATATTCATTCCGCATGGAAGATATTCTATATGACTCGGGTACTTAATGAATGGCTATTATTTATTTTGAATTTATTGAACCATAAAATTAATTTTTGACTCTTCACATTGATTAATCCGCAAAGCGGATTATGTAAAATGTGAAGAGTCAAAAATTAATTTTATGGTTCAATAAATTCAAAATAAATAATAGCCATTCATTTTAAATAAATTTCTATCAAAAATAAGGCTCAAAGAGCTTTTTATATTATTTATATTAACAATAACAACGTACACACATGTTGGCGTATGAATACACAACGTCAGAATGGGCGTGTCGCCATAAAAATTGACAACATTGAAAATAAAGGTAATACTTTTAACCAATTAGAAGACAGTAAATACACCAAATTTATTTATTTCAAAATGAATATAAAAATAACTTGTTGGTTTCTCGCGATCGTCTGCGTTATCGAAATATGTAGAAAATATAAGATTATACATTTTTTGCATGTTTAACAAATTCAACGATGACATAAAAAGAGGATTGCTTATTTGTATTTTATAGTAAAATTCTAAACGACATATGTGTAACTAAAGATTGTACTGTGATGTTTACTGTTTTCAATTTTTCTTAATTTTCTCGTTTCTCTTTTTTATTTAAACTCTAAATATCTTGCAAAAAATATTCAGTACACTTACCCTTGCTTCGTATGTAGGATAGTAGTCGGGTGCCTTGAAAAATAGAAAAAAAGAGTAATGGTGCGAAATGTAGCCTTTCTCTTGAATTTTCTACATTAGCAAGCTTAAATGTTGGTCTTAATTTTGATATTTTCCGGTTAAATCAGCAAGATTTTGGATATCAAAATAGTCTAGCATAGAGCATCACTGATGTGTCAATATTTGTTGAAATGCGCACCTGACGCAGAACAAGGGGTATTTTTTTTTTTTTTTTTTAATTTAATGTAGAAAGGATTTTGTGTCTGTCAGGAATGCTGTCAGTAGATGTTGCTACAATAAGCAAATAAGCATATTATAATAAACGATTTTATATGGTAGCATTATAATTATATATACATGTATATATCCATATATTGGGTACTTAGATGCATGAACGTTGCTATGTCTGCAAAAACCCAAATTCGTTATATGTGAGGAATTATTGGTTTCACGGAAAATAAAACGTGTAATCGGTAGACTGAACACAACTAAAACACAACTGGATACAAAATAAGGCAAAAAAGTATATAAATGTAAGGGTTTTAATTTTAATGCGAGAACAAACTGCTCAATCAAAACTAATGTACTAATATAACATAATATTTCTGCGTTAGTAATGTCATTTGTAGTTGTTTTCATTTTGTTTTCATTTAATTTTGTTAGCATAATTAATATGTTCAAGCGTTACATTATTAATATCATTTCATATTGCTGCATTAATAATAATATTTCATAATGATTCATTATGTTTACAATTTAGTATTGTAACTAGAATTATCAATACACACCTGATGTTTTGACATTTCTCTCAGTCGATCTTCATATTGCTGAAAATTTTTTCAAAATTTAATATACAAAAGTGCTATATTTGTTAAAATAAACAATTAGCTTCGACTTTCTCTACAACGGAATGCTTAATTACCATTAAACTAAAACTTTCTCAAGCACTTTGGTCTTGCTGAAGCTTAAGTATTCTGTGTAGTGGTGTGTGGAGTGTTTTTAGATAACAGAAAAGTCATCTGATCTGTAAATTTCTGATTGTGTCCTATTCCCAATTGTCACAATTTGACTGCGTATGGATTAATTCTGTATGCGTATTTCTCTGTCCTGAGTGTTCTTGCGTTTAGTTGTAATGCATAGCTGATGTGTTTCCCTCGATTTTGGTTTGTGACCTGGATTTGTTTCAGTTGCATCGATTTGTGACTGTTGAACAGCGGTATACTGCTGTTGCCTTTGTTTAACATTGGGGAGTATGTATGTATATACGGAGACACTAACCATGTCGACGTTTCCGGTCTCTCTCCTTTTTGAGAACATGTAATTCCCTCCGTTTTTGTTTTTACCCTGATTTGTGTATTCTGACTGTATTTGTAATATTTGAACATTTGTAGACTACTGGTGCCACTAATTTGCACTTTTTCGGGGAAAAGGGCATTTATTGTCTGTCGTTCTTTTACTTATGATTTTTAATGCACCCTTTTTGCATTTGTTTACAAAGAGTTTTCAAATATGTGAACTGCATAAAATGTTTAATCAAAATATTTGTTGATAAACTTTTCCGTGCCCGTATATGAAATGGAATAACAAATATAAAATGTGTTCTTATATATAATATATAAACATGTTGTTGAGGGGTGTTTTTTTTTTTAATTTGTTTTGTTCTCTTTATTTTCTTTTTGTTTGTTTCTCTTTGTATTATTTTCCGTCTTCTACGAGAGTAAGGCTGGGGCTACAGTAGGTGTCTTAGTCAATCTCCAATTGTACGCATACCTCGGACGATTCATTTCTACCTCTCTGCCACATCGGATCATCAAATTTTGTCTGAAATAAAACGAAGTAAGTTTTATTAGTTCATACGAAATAAAAACTTCAATAATAAAGTCGTGTATTATCGCCTTGCGTGGAATCTTTTAATTTATTTTGCTTCATTTGCATTTCTTATTCAAAGTGTTCAAAATGTATATGATATTATATTTATGTAGACAAACATTCAATGGCACCGTTTTACTTATCTCTTTTATAGACATGTACGATTACTGTGTTTTTAAACGAAATGCAAATGCATATACCTTTATAATGCAATTGAGCTAAACAAAAAGCAAAAAATATTTTAAAATTTTCTAAGCATAAACAAAAGTAACCCGAATAATTCAGTCCCTCCCCGTGATCGACTCTCCCACTCGCGAGGTTAATGGTAGCAATCGTAGAGCAGCCGAATATAACGACTGACTTATTAGGGTTAAAACAAAAGCAACTCTGATTTCTAAAAGAGAGGCGGAAGATACCAGAGGGATATTTAAACTCATAAGTCGAAATTGAACTGACAATGCCATTGGGAAAAATACGAAAAACGACCAGACTGAGTATCACGAACCCCACAAAACAATTGGGGGGAGGGGGTCCAGATGCTCCGGGAGGGTAAGCAGATCCTGCTTCACATATTGCACCCGTCTTAAGTCTTATTCGATAGGTCAAATTCGAGGAAATGAGGACGGGATTGTGATTACGACAATTGGAATATATCCGTCGTCATCTGTGAAACAGATATTCCATAACGGGTAGCAAACTCATGATGGCATACGTAAAATTTTCAGTTTTGTTTGTGTAGTTCTCCGTTAACGATTTTTCCTATTTTCTTATAGTAATTTAGTTTTAAATGCTTCTTTGTATTTTGTGATCAAGTGAATACAACGAATATTATACATTCTTGGCATTCAAATATTTGACTTAGAGCGTTCCTGGTGAATGTACAACCAGATAAGCGCTTCAGACGCTTAAAATTTATGAAGTGTTATTTTCATGTTTTATTCTACAAACGTGTCTTGTTTCATATAGCTTACCTTGTTGTAGTCCATATTTCTTATCATACCATGTCGGTCATATTCTGGTGCCTATAAAGAATGAAATTCATATTTCTCAAACATAGAATCAACACAGAAATTAATTAAATGACACATTAATTAAGTTATTTATACAGGTTTGAAAAAGCCATGGAAGTACTGTACTGAAAATAGTACTTCCACGGATAAACCAAAAGCATAATTATTAATTGAAATGTATAATTGCTACTTTTTTTCCAACTACAACATGTCGGCGGTCTTATTTAATATTTATAGATATAATTCTAATTATAACTCTACAATTGCAAAACACCACGTGATAGAAACTTATTGTTTTACGTGTTATATAATGATTATGTTATGTATATGTTATTGGAAATATTTATATAAATATAGATATATAAAGAAATGTTTGTAGTATATATTAACCTGAGGCCCACTTGTTTCATTTAAGAGTCTACATTAATGCAGATTGTGCCATCTCATCTAAAATAAACTTGAAACCATAACTTACATTGAATATCAAACCTTTTCAATTAATTGTAAAAATATTAGAATGTTAACATAATGATATCGCCCGGAAAATAATAATATTAGTCTAAAACCATCAAAATGTTATTTTCCACAAAACCAGAAAGCAACACACAAGTGGTGAAAATACAAAAAGGTAAAACGTTTATATTTTATCCTGCAATAAGCCTACTATTACAAATAACAGCTATACAAATACAATTGTTTCAATTATGGTTTTAGTATACAAATAAAATCTCCTGAATCCTGCTTTGATTTTCACAAATAATTTATGGGTTCTTCGCACTCCACTTTTCGGTAATGTCGATTTCTACCAAGAACAACGATTGGAAAGTTGAAAAAAAATAAAGGTTAAGGGCCAAATTATGATAAATTGAAGCGAATCTCGGATTTCTTCCCAGTGTATAATGTACACATATTGCATATTACAGTCATACCATATAACATATAGGAGTATAAAATCTGAATGACGGATTCACTGAGTAGGCTATGTGTGTAGCGATATGGGTGTAGCGACGCGGTTACAAAGATTGAATCCAGATGAAAGACGTTAAAAATGAATGGCAATCAGTTAAAATCTGAATTTTAAAATAATTTTCTTGTTAAAACTCCTATGCACTACTCCATTGAATCGCCACTGAAACAAATACAGGAGGAAGGTACAGATTGAGGAAACGGATAGAAAGGTTAGTATAAACAGGTGACTCTACTTTCTAGAATGTTTAAACTTTGAAGTAAAATTCGCCGTTTCAGAATCTAATGCATTCTGGGTAATTTCATTGTTCGTACCCCAAAATGAAAACGACGTCACGTCGTTTGTTGAAATTCAATTGTTTGGGACGTTGTTAGCCAATCACATCGTTTTGTTGTACGATTTTGAAAATATTACCCAGAATGCATTATATTCTGAAATGATGAATTCCCGAAAGGTAGAAACACTCAAAGACACTGCACAGAACCTACCTTTCCTTTGTTGTAATCATGTCTATATGTTGATTCTTTCCTGTACTGTTAAAATAAAAGTATTTATTACTATTCGGAACCGACACCATATATATTCGGAACTTACCTTCTTGTTGAAATCTTTTTGGTATGTTGACTTTCTCATATACTGCGCAAAAACAAAAGGTATTTATTAAAGGATAACTATAAAAGACTTGTCAGAAATTCGAACTTTGTAAATATTTGTCAAATTACGTTAAACAGATTCAATATTAGAATACAAATTGTCAAAAAATGTCTGCTGATAAAATTCTGGACTCATTCATTATGAAAATAATGACAATGGTGAATTAGAAAATGTTTCTTCTGGTGAAATAGCTTTGTAATTAACCTTTGACTTCAAACTTTTAAACTATAAGACAAGTCTACGTAACTTCCTTGTTATTCTAACTAATACTAGCCAAATGAAAAGCAAATATATTTAAGATCTAGAACTATAAATTAATTCAGTGTGAGTTCGAACCATATCATTTTATAACAGTTAAATACAAAGCTTTTTTGAACATGTGAAATTAGACAGCAATGTCAATCAAAATGACATGGTATCTTGAATCTTATTCACTTGAATGTCTCCACAATCACTATTGGTAAAACTCCACAATGATCGCTAAATACATGTATGGGCAAAATTATAACTTCTCCAGTACATATATCCTACATTTCCTCATTTTTATTTAAATCTCGCCTAAATTTCTTATTGAACGATCTATTATAATCAGATCACCAATGCAAACACCAGTTTTTTGTCTTAGACCCAGAAAAATCCTTTTGATCAGAACCAATCCGATTTTAGCAACAATGCACTTAACGTAAGCATGATCGAATTTGTCTTACTAGTGAATTAAAGCATGCAACTGATAATGTTTGGTAACCAATTTTATATTACTTTTCTTATAGTGGTTACTTTTCCAATTGTTTATGTGACATTGAATTTCCATGCTTTTCTTTTATTAGTGTTCAGCAACTAAGCTGGATAATGACCCAACAGATACATGAAGGATGGAAAACAATATGAACCATGCGACTGAATTAATACACACAAGAAAGTGAAGTGGAGTAAATGCGTAACGAAATAGAAGATAATACTAGAAACTCATAGGTTATGCATAACACACATATAGGACACCTGAAAGTAAATGTTAATAGTCTAAGACCGCCATTATACTGAGTAAATTGGTAGCTATCTGCTTAAAAAAGTGAAATAACTTAATATGGTTTGAAATAGGACAATAATTTTTTTTTGTCATTACAGAACAACTATTTTTAGTATTTAATTTTTCCCCTGCTATATTTATTTTTTAAATTTCGTATAATTTTGTTCGTCTTATCTCAAGTAGAAATGATCATGGGAAAGCTAGAAGTTAATCTAGACTCTTTTGATTCTTTGTCTTTAAACAGCTCAAATTAGAAAACTTATATGCAAATTTAGAATAAGTGATCATTCCCTCACTATTGAAACTGGAAGATATAAAAATATTCCACGCCCTCAAAGACTGTGTAATAAGTGCAAAGTTCTGGATGATGAATCACATTTCTTTTTAATATGTAAAATAAATGATGATTTAAGACTTGTCTTTTTTAATGATTTAAAAACTCAATACAAAGATTTTTCTGATAATAAAATGAAATATATACTAAATCCAACCACTAGTCAGCAAGTGAAATCTTTAGGCTCCTTTATTAAACAGTCTATGGAACTGAAGACAGGGGGCACTTGAGGTCATTTGTTGTGTTTAATGTTTTGGTTTATTTTTATTTTTTATGTAAATTTTATGTCATCATTATATTGTTGTTATTACATGTAATTGTCATGCCTTTGGCCCTCTTGTGGGTATAATTAGTGCTTTAATAAATAAATATAATTACAAACCTTGGTCCCCGTAAGAAGGCATTAAATATTCTGTACAAACTGGAGTATCTTTGCTTATGACTTCAAAAAATATAGTCAGCCAAAAAAAGTCTTAGATAAATTAATTTTAGAACAAGAAGTTTTGACTAGACTAAACAATAGGTTTCGCTCAAAAAAAGTTTGATCGGCTAAAATTATCACGAATACCAGTGATATAGAATGTGCTTTCGAAGGCTAAATAAATGGAGAATGTGTCCATGGGACACAGATGATGACCCCGCTTGCATATAACGCTATAAAAGGGACATAACTCACGAACGGTAAAAGTGACGACACCTAAACTTGATCTAGAGTTTTGTGGTAATAAGCATTGTGTATAAGTTTCATAACATTTGGTTGAGGCAAACTAAAGTTAGAGAACGGGAACCAATTTCAGGACGTACGTATGGACGGACGGACGGACGGACGGAGGTACAGACGTACACACGGACAAGGGTAACACTTAATGCCTTCTCCGATGTGGCGGGGGCATAATAACATTGGCTTCTGGCTTTAAAATCAACGACTACCTTAGTTGCTTGAAACAACCTATACTATTATTTGCAATTGTTTGAAAATCAATTATTGTCTTGTGTTCAGGTTACCGTATATAAGATAAGTTTTTATTTTTAATTTTTTTTTTTCGCATGTTTGACAACCATAACCGTTATAACCGATAGTAATCCACCTATCAAATTTCCTATTTGTATTGTTAGAGGGGAATGTTATATACTAGTTTTTTAAACTAAAACTAAATATATAACAAAGGAAACAAAAGTAAGGTGTTGTTCAAAAGATTCGAACAAAAGACTTAATCAAGGGGAACAAAAAAAATCATATTCCGTTTTTTTTTGCTTTCTGCTATTATCTATCCGTAAACTTCCTTTTGTACTAAAGAAATGTCCTTTAATGAAGTGACATCTTTTAAACAGTAGTTGTTATAAGATTGACGTATGGTGTGTGTTTCTCCTTATAAAAAGTCTAAAACTGATTTGTTACACAATGTTGAAATTTCTGAAATACCGCCTAGAAACTAAACCATTTAAAAAAAATACATTCAACGTTTAGACTGCATGACGGATAAGAAATTGACTTTCAACCATCTATTTAAAAAGAAAAAAAAGTTCTCTTAAGAAGTAACAATAAGAAACCTCATTTTTATACTGGATGGTTCTCAATCTAAAATAAATCATGTCCAAGTATTTGAAATGGTAAGTGTATCCTTAAATCAAAGGCATTTCTTACTTTCAAAAGTTGCAAACGATATTTCATAAAATGATGTGTGAATTAAAGTTACTATACATTCATAATTAGCATATATACTGTTCTAACATGTAAGGTTCTAGCTTAAAGATACAAAAGATCTATGCAAAATATGACATCTAGCAGAGACCGTATGATATTGATAGAAGAGTATATAGTACATATATACCATTGTTTTCCATGACGGTTTAATTGGCCAATCATCTCCTAGTATCTGAAACATTATGATTGATGCTTCATTGTTTGTTGTGAGTTTATGTCCAGCAGAAAATATGTCATACATATTAAGACCCGTTTGAAAAAAATACAATGAGTAGGTTTAGTGATGTTGATCAACCGGAAAGAAGGACGGACAATTAAAACTGTATGTACTACGTACTAGATGAAAAGGGTCGGTTGGATAACCCGTGTCCGTGGGCCTCAATCCTTTTCTGGTCTGGGGGATTATAAGATTGAAATCACGCTTATGTATATATAAACTTTATTCTACTGCCATTGAACAACCACATGTATGGCAGACAACACTAACTGTTCGCCGCCGACAAACATAACAAAAGTATACAGTCCCGTAAAATAACATAAAACAACCTAAATTATCTTCTACATTTCCGGTAACCAGAAATACTAAATAGAGGTAGACAACACTTGAAACAGGCCACCTCAAAGTTTCTGCAAACGTACCACTCACCTAATTCAGATTGGGTGTCGCTACGTACTTATACATCCCTCACACTCAAATAGACGCCATTGTTAAGAAGGGGTCTTACTTTCGGATGGAAGAAGTTGAAGCATAAAGATAATCCGTTGGCCCACGTGTTTAATATAATTGGATTACATTCGTTTGTTATACAAACATATATTTTTGGAAGTTAAAGTGTATAAAATGGAAACATTACCGTTGTTTTTCTGCAATAATTTTTCAAAGACTATACGACCCAAGAAAGTAAACTGGGTTCGAGAAAACAAATAGTCAACAACTCAGAAAAAAATACAAAAGTATATATATTATATTATATTTAATATATATATCACACTGTTCAACACAATATCCAATCATAACGAAACTCAGGAGTACTAAGTGTCTTAGAAAATAAGCACTGGCAAGGGTCTGTTATAAATGAGAAACTATTTCTATACCACTTAAACTGCGTTCAGGTAAATTTCACTCCGAATGCTATGGCGTGGGAAGGCAACAGCAAAATGAAATCTACAATGGATAGTTTTCAACTCATTTTGACAGGTTTGAATCACTATTTACCATACTTTCATTGATTGATGAATGTTTTTAAACATGGGCACATTTAGATAAGTTCGGCAAAAACATTTTGGCCAGGTTTGAATCAGAGTAATCATACTTTTAAATGATGAATTTTTAAAACATGGGCACATTTAGATAAGTTCGGCAAAAACATGTTGGCCAGGTTTGAATCAGAGTAATCATACTTTTAAATGATGAATATATTTTTAAAACATGGGCACATTTAGAGATGTTCGCTAAAAACATTTTATTTGAAATAATTTACAAGACTAACCTAAGTTCGAATATTATCTATTGCCTCATGATATCAACTATTCGAACAACAAATAAGAGAATGTATCAACAAAAACCTGAGACACACAAAACACTAAAGATTGAAATCTACGGGTCCCGACCCCACACCCCCACCCCACCCCTCTTTTTAGTCTAAACTAAAGTGTTTTGGAAGAATAGAACAGTCCGTTCTCCACTAGTGTTGGTGTTCATTATAAACATAGGTAAAATATAAATCGAATCTTAATTTTGTATGAAATGAAAACTAGCCAAAGGTAAGTAAGTGTATACTTACGTAGGAAGACATGGTTCATAAACTGTTCCTCACTTTTTGAATCGCCAGTAAATCTGAAACATGAAATTTGTATTTTAAATGTGATAAAAGAAACTATCATCTTTTCAATTGCATTGAATTTTTGAAAATATTTAAGCATTGTATAAAAAATATTTCTAACCAATCTCAGCCCCCTTTTTTATATGAATATCTTGAAGATACCAAAGATTGAAAAAAGAAAACGTGTTCTTCTCAATTTTAGAATTCAAAACCTTAAACCTTGATTTTTATCTTGCATTCGGTTGATAAAAAGATAATACTTGCAATAATACTATGCAGACGGTGAAATTGGCTTACAATTAAGATCAAAATATTATTATTTGATGTATATATTCATCCGTCGAAGCTTTACTTTTCTCTAATTATGGAGACTTTCAAAACAAAAAGGGTGACTACGATTGGCTGATGTTTTTAAGGTAATTTCATTGATTTAATAGTATAAAAAATAAAAATACGAAGATCTTATATCATTGCCAATGAGACAACTATCCATCAGATACCAAATGACGTAGATCTAAGCAACTATAGGTCACCGTACGGACTTCAACAATGAGCAAAACCCATACCGTTAATTAAGCTATAAAAGTTATGAAATGACAAGTTGTAAAACATTCCAACTCCGTTACTCGTTAATTGTATGACAAATAAATTCAAGTTCAGGAATAAGAATAAAGATACAAGTAAACAGTAAACAGTACGTCTGATCTTTGATTCTTAAGTATGGGAGTATATATTTCAAATTGGTAGAAATGGTACCTGTTACGTTGACGTGATGTATATTTGATTTTATTATTTGGTTATTTGAGAGGCCTTTATAAGAAGGCCAACCCCTATTCAGGCACGTATACAAATCTGATACCAAATCTAGAGAGATATATTAATACAATACTTTGACATTGACACTGTAACTTTCACACTGCATGGGTCATGAATTATACATTTTGAACAAATTGATATACTTGTTAACAATCAGAGAGTGTCAGTCGTCAAGAACGTTTGACATAAAAGCGAATTATTACTTATTAACTTTAACAAAGTTTAAAATTTCAAATAAAATTAAATGTACGTACATATGAATTTAAAAAAATGGATTGTAATTTCATGATGATTTAAAAAGAGTTAATATAGATAAGTCAGACAAAAATTTAAAGTACACAAAAATTATTTCAAAATATCAAATAAAAGGTTAATACATAGACATTAATTGTCCTCGAGAGACAAGGTTGTAAGATATATAGATTGTGTCACCACAAGTTATGATATATTAACTATGTTTAAATTAATTATAATATTTTTTTTTACTCGAGGTAGTCAAATTTTTCAAGATTTAAAATGTGATGCTTACGAAGCTTGCCGGGAGTTTGAAAATTTTGAAATATAATTATCGATAGATCAAACCCGACACCTTATCTGATACTCCTTATTCCCATTGAACATCCATGTACATCTGTAAAATCATCGAATGATTTTGAAACTGCTACATGCAATCTTTTAGATAAATAGTTGTTGTCAGTACATGTATTGCAAAGGTATTCTAATTTGTTTTATTTTATTTTTTCATTTTAAGTTGTTCCTTAACCAATAAATTGATTTTGTCCATTCGTTTCAAGATTTATATTACTCTTGTGTACATGTAAATGCTTCTTTGGACAGTATGATATTGTAAAATGAAATATACTTTTCAAATTGAAATATTATCAACAAAGCTTTTAACTGAAATAATTACACTTGCAGACTAACAATATAGTGAATTAAAGTACAATACACGTAAATTATAGGATACGAGAACACAGGGGTATTTATCCGCATATTTCTTTGATTTAATCGTACATTTTTTCTTATAATTACACCTTATGTAAGAATCCTGGGTTTTGATTGGTTGATAGCCAGTGTATTTTTCACCAATTTACTTTTATCAAATGAATATCGTTCATTTTTAAACAGCGCCGGGGTATATGCAAAAAGGATATGCCTTTTTTACCCTCTCTGTCGTGGTATTTGCCAAAAAATACTCTATCCGACTGGACGCTTGTAATGTCACGATCATCAATGCGTTTTATGTCAAGATCATCAATGCGTTTTGTACGTTAACATTTGGTGTAATTAAACAGATATAGCATGTTCTTGAGGGGTATTTGCCAAAAATACCAGTCTTGAGAATGAATTTCCCTCGCCTTACGGCTCGCGAAATTTAACATTCTCTCGACTGGTATTTTTCGCAAATACCCCTCCTTAACATGATATATCAGTTCAAAATTTTGTTAATTATTAAAAATAAACAGTGTAGTCCTCAATTTCATTTCATTTTCTCACGGACGAGTCTGTTGTTTCTCAAGGCGTGAAGAATTATGTATCAAGACCTGACATGTGTACCTACATTTTTTTTGACGGTATCATGTTCAACTACGTGTAGTTGATAAAAATATTTCATATTGAGGATTAAAGCAGAGAAACTTTATTTTTGATTGAGAACATCTTAGATTTGGGTAGAGGTGGGTGCGGATTAGGCCAACGATTAAAACTTTGTGATGATTCTTCTTTTTTATCGTTTGGTTTGTGCCAGTAGTTATAATTTCGAATTTGTATCTATACAGTCAAATCTTATTTTTTTCTGTATCTCAATGAACTGATGATTTTTTTCATTAGTTGTTATTGGCTTTTAACTAGCTGTAAGTAACTGCGAGTACTCTCAGATCTGTACTTAGTGTCTTTTTGATTTTGGGATGTACAAGTACCCGTCCACGTCCACTTTGTGTTTTTGTTAGATTTACATCTATTTGTATCCATCTGATGAGTTAAGCCTTTTTCAACTGATTTTTATAGTTTGTTCTTATGTTGTACTGTTTCACCACTGTCCCAGGTTAGGGGGAGGGTTGAGCGCTCACAAACATGTTTAACCCCGCCACATTCTTTATGTGCCTGGCCCAAGTCAGTAGCCTGTAGTTCAGTGGTTTTCGATTGTTCATGTCTGTCATATTTGTTTTTCGTAAACTGTTTTGTTATAAATTAGGCCGTAAGTTTTCTCATTGTTGAAGGCCGTACGGTTGCCTATAATTGCTTACATCCACTTTGGTGGATAGTTGTCTCATTTTCAATCATACCACATCTCCTTATTTTTATTATGTTTTCAAATTGTTTATTTAGACACAATATGTAATATATAATATATACTTGTTCCTTGGTCATGCTGGTAGGTAGATAGATAAAATAATTTTATTCAAAAGAAAAAGTAATTGGACAAAAATGAGAAATGTTCAGGACAGTAAAGGTGCTTAACCAAAAATGTTTGCATTTTAATGGTGCTTAATAAATTAAGATGCCCATAAAATCTGTTGGGGTAGGCATGAACATTTACGGTAAGTAGGGTGGCACAAAGCAAATGATATTTGTTTCGCCTACTCTGGTGTGAAAATTTCTTTTAGAAAGTTTAAATTGTATATATTATATACGTCTCAAAAAATATTTATGTAAATTAAACTGAATTTCACCTGGATTATAGGTTAAGTATATATAGGCGTAATTAACCGCATATTTCTCGATTTAAATTATTGACTTTGAGCTCTAGTTAATCAGTAACTTTATACAGCACAGTACTCAATTTAATTTTAACACGGAGTCCCTATTTTGAAAAATCGAATTGCAAAATGCATGTTCTATTTTGAAAGATTTTGCACTAGAAAACACTGGCCATATGCATGGACAAACACATTTTTTTAGAGGATGCGTATTTCACCCATATACATCTTTTAAAAGCAAATTTATTTTGGTCGAAGAGTTTAGCAAATGTTTTTATCAGAAGGAAATTCTGCGCAAGGTTATGGTAAGGGTTAGGATTAGATTTTGAGGGTTAAGTATCAGTTAGGATCAGGGTTGGAGTTAGTGTAGTATATAGCTCTATATGAATAATGATGGTTTGTGTCCCCCAAAGGAAATTATTTCAACACAGTTTATAGATTTGAGCTTACCATTTTTTTTTCTAAAAATTTATTCCAGAAAGACATGTTTTGAGGTACATTTTGCACTACCATATATTTAGATAAATGAGAAGCGTATTATTCATTTTGGTTTTACGAGCCAGTCATTAAACCGAACAGTAAAATTAATTTTAGGGGTTCTTAAACTGTCCAACGTGTATCTGAAATCTTGTCATAAATACTGAAAATATGCCTGTACAAATTAATCAATGTTTCACGTGTATTTCCGTAAAAAAAAGACATTCAACAGAAAAAAGTGTGAACACATCTCAGACATACTGAAGCCCGCCTCCTGGTGTGGAATTTTCACGCTGCGCTGAAGACCCATTGGTGGTCTTGGGCTGTTTTCTGCTCTTTGGTCGAGTTGTTGTCTCTTTGACGCATTCCCCGTTTCCATTCTTAATTTTGTTCCATATTTATCTAATTGGACTGTCAGTTTGATAATTAAAGCATGCTTGTACCATGATATGGATACAATAGGTTATTAGAATTTTGATATTTGCAATTTATTTCTGTTTTGTTTCTTCGCCATAGACACAATCTGTCTTTTTGTTTACCTTAAAAATTAATTGTTCAAATCCATATAAGTCAAGAGAAAAGAAATCTAGGTAGCATTTAAAGATATAACATATTTCTTATTTTGAAATAAACGGCATATTTGTAAAAGAATTCCGAACCAGTCGACCTTACATTCAATTTGGAGTATTAAATGTTTTTCTTATTTATTTTCTATACCTTAAGATATGCGTTAAATATCTCAGTTGCTAACTACATGACACAGTTCTTTCAAATTCATTCGTGTATTCACTAACTTTCTTTTAACCCTATTGTTAAAACAATGAAACGTCTTATGGTTGCAATACACAAAAACAAACATTGTAAATAATAAAAATATATTTTTTAAATTTTTTATTTATTTTTTTTTTTATATATAAATAGGATATTGTCAAAATGTTAAGCTTACCTTTTTCTTATTTTATTTCAGATTACGATAGATAATATCTCTTTAATTAGAAAAATAATCCTATCCTGCAGTGGATGTGTAGACCAGTTATGCTCTCGTCACCAAATTTGGTATTTCTTTACTATTTTTGGCACAATGTCACATAAATATCATTATCACACTGGCTTCAGAATCAAATTGGATGTCTTCTAGTACCCCTTTCACTTGTTTCCAGTTAATCACTTATTGCCTAATGAAAACAAAAGTACCCCTTTACGCTATGCGCTTAGTGAACCGGAAAATGTCAACCCGAGACAGTTGTTTTGTTTTTAAAATGCAGGGGAATTAATGATAACAGGTGAAAGTCTTTATTTCAGTTGAAAAGAAAAATTATCGGTTTTAAGATAAACCTGTTATTTACTTATTTAAACACTCTACATAATCCCGATTTAATCAAACACAACCATTTCAATGCAACTAGCAGTTTATATGACATGGAACATTTAAAATGATATGCTTAAAAGTTTGTTAAATTTGAACACTTTAACAAACGAATCGAGCGTAGCGAGTGTTTGTTATTGATAAAAATCTACGGTCACCGTGGTAAGTATGCATATTAAAAAAAAGATAAAATTTATAGGCATATAAAGCTCATTTGACATAAAGTATTAACGATATGAGACTAGCCTAAATCCCCTACTTCATTCCCCCTTAAAAGGTACTCGATCAAGAAAAAAAAGAATCAAATAAATCCTTATGATTGATTTCCAAGCGGCATTTCTAAACCTTTTAACAAAAATGAATTGGTAGGTTTTAATTAAAAGAGGGTAATATCTTGATTTAAATTTACGAAAATAGGGGAGGATTACCACAAAAAAAACATATACAGTAGAAAGAGGTTTTGTCACATGAAATCATTTACAGTAGAAGCAGGTGGTCGAAGCCAATTCACCATTAAGATTTTGCCGATTCCTTGTCGGAAAATGGTCCTTTGATTTAAACGTATGGATTCGTTCGTATAGACAGATTTCCCTTTTTACTGGAAAAGCTACGACTGGTAGAATAACAAAATAACCCTTAGAAAATATGAAAACGTGTGACTTCAATAGGACAGTACAAAAAAAAATTATAAATCTCGCATCAATTATTTCATATTGCGACAGCCTAAGGTTATTAACAGCAACGAATTCACTTTGTGATAATTTGGTTTAAAATTAAGAACATTGACATAAACACTATAGAGTGAAAGATTTAATGAGTTTGCGCAACCGAGGCGAATTCTCTTCATACTTCAGTTAAAGTTTACATTTTATTTCATTTATTGGTATACATTTGCATCAAGTCCAGTGGAAAATAGTTCATGCATATTCAGGACAAAGACAGAGATAATACAATATGTTCATGTACGTTCTGTAAACAGGGTTGACCTGGTCTATACATTGTAAGTGGACAAATAAGACCCCACTCTAAAAAAAGTGGACATGATGGATATAGAAACAGAAATATTAATTTTGCTAAAGACCACATCCGGGCTTCTCAAAGAGATGTTACAAAATTTCTTTAACATGCAAAACGAGGCATCGGGTTAAACGTCTCCATTTCATTTGGATGTGACTGCATCTGTTTGCACCTGTCCTAAGTCAGGAATCTGATGTTCTGTAGTTGTCGTTTGTTGATGTGGTTCATAAGTGTTTCTCGTTTCTCGTTTTTTATATAGATTAGACCGTTGGTTTTCCCGTTTGGATGGTTTTACACTAGTAATGTTTGGGGCCCTTTATAGCTTGCTGTTCGATGTGAGCCAAGGCTCCGTGTTGAAGACCATACTTTGACCTATAATGGTTTACTTTTATAAATTTTGACTTGGATGGAGAGTTGTCTCATTGGCACTCATACCACATCTTCTTATATCTACCTCTCTATGATATGGATTTTACTACCCGATTTGAGAATTCCATGACTATATTTCTATTATCCACTCTACTCATGTGATTCGTCAATTCAAAATCAGATTTATAAGGTAAACCTATGTTAAGAATTCACTGTAACAGTTACATTTTACATCCCATAAATCTTTGGCAATGTTACCGTCTATTAGAGTGACATGATTTATTCTTAAGTTAATTTCTGACGTATCTCGCAAGCTATTTTGTAATTTTCAGTTTTTATTCTGGTTTGCGGAAGTGAATCTAATTTAAACCATGTTCTATCTATACGTCCGATACTTGGTCCAGGGACACAGTTTTCGCCCTTTTATTGTCGTTGTCAAAAATAGTTTGTACAAATATAGTCCCTAGTGTAGACAGTGAATTTCTTACAATTTTTTTTTCATACCCCTTCCAAATTTATTTCTTCATGTTTTATGCCTCAAAATGCAAGAAAGGGTAGAAATTACACCGTAAAAAAATTTGGGTCATAAATTTTAAGTAAAGGAGTGATTTGCATTGGTCCAGTTAGAAAAGGTTAATCATTAGTATGTCTGAAGCTGTTAAAAACAGAATTCAAGACCCCTTTAACATAATTTTGTCCATATTTGAGTAACAGCTGATGAAGTTTTCTAGAATCGTGATAATTTCGATATAATTTTTCCCAAAAGTATATCACCACACTGTTAAAATATTACTAAGAAAGCGCAGATGCGATTTTTTTTAAATTGCATTTATTGTCTAAAAGAAATGCACTACGAAATAACTGTGTTCTCGTGCCACTTGCGTTAAGTATACATTATGAGAAAAGTAAAGGCATTCCAATAGAAAATGTATATATTTTTTTAATGAATGATGTGCGTTTGCTTGGTTAACATTTAGAAAGTTTTCCTTTGCTGATCGCAAAGAGAAGCATCCTTCAGGAAAAAATTTTGTGTAGTGTCTCTAACAGTTCGTTTTTTTAAGTTTTATAAAGATATTTTGAGGCAGGTTAAGGCGACGAAAATTTAACAAAATGTATCATCGGTTTTAGCTGTTTAAAGTGATATTCGTCGAACAAAGCGGCATAACTCAGATCAGTATTGGTAGGTAAGCACTGTATGTTTTACTAGAGTTACTATGATTGATTTTCTCTTTGTTACAGGTACCTTATATGGATAAAATGAAACAAACATGAAAAAGTTTTTTTTTAAATGAATGCATTTTATGATATTCAAAATCTGTGTACAGAAACAGAATGATAAAGTTTAACTAGTCATTATGTATTTATGATGAAGAATAATCAGAATGCTTTTTATTAACACCATTTTGCTATTCCTCTTTTAATGTAGCTTGTGTTTTTTTTTTCGAATGATGGATAACTCATGTGTACCGAAGCCCTGTTCACTTAGTGAATGGTGAGACGGGAACAGACATCTCGGCTGAACAAGTAGAAATATAACATATGAAAATCACTTGCTTTCGGTTCGTATAAATTTTCAGAAGGCAGCATTTTAATCTATTATAATTAAATGTTGATAAAATTCTATGCAACACTCAATATGATATTTTGAAATATTTTGTTTATTTAAACACAGTCCCTGTACACAACTACTCCTCATTCTAAACAAGCAGAAATATTGTTATATGCTCCTTTTTTTCGTTCATTAATTTTTCCATTTTTTAATTTGGTATTTGGATAATTTGATTGGATAACTTTGTGTTGCTGGTAGATTTGATAACCTCTATGCAATTTATTCACGTTTTAGACCAAAGCTAAGGCGATTTACACTTGGCAAATTGTCTTTTGGCTATTTTAATCGTTGGGTTGCTCTCTCATTGAGGTTTACCCCATTATATCTCCCTGAAATCGTTTCAATTAAATATATTCTGTAATTGAGGAGTTTGGTTGTGTGTGGTTTTATTTTTTTTTTTTTTTTTGCATTTTGAGACGCATACATCAGTTCATGAACAATATGAATTATTATGTTGTAGAACGTTTGTTTTATTTTTCACGTTAAAGAGCATTCTACCATATATATTAAATTACCTAATTTAAGTCTATTTGTTTGTATACATGAATTGTTGACGTTTTAGAATTGTTTTATTTTAAGTGAATTTCTCTCTGAAATTATATAAGTGTTTTTATACTTAATTTCCCATAGTGCAACTTGGATGCAGATGAACATTCTTGCATATGTTTTAGCTCAGAAAATTGCTGTTTGCTATCTATTGAAGTTTTACTTAGATAAGTACAAAATACAGCTATGTATACGATCTAAAATATCAGGTGCATATTGCTGCGTATAAGGAAGCTATTTAACATTTACTGCTTAAGTTGAAGTCCTATATTCAAAAGTTTTAAGGGGCCTCGGTGGCCGTGTGGTCTAAGTAGTCGAACTACTGTATCACTAGCCTGTAAACACTACGTTTGTCTGGTCGAATACCGTACATTACAGGTGCGCTCTACTCAAATCTTAATTAGCTAGGATTGTTTCTTTTCCTACCGAAGGTCGGTGGTACTCGCCGGGCACTCTGGCTTCCTCCACCAATAAAAAGTGACTGCCACGAAATAGCACAACGGTGCTGAAAAAAGGCGCTATTTACCAACCAATCAATCAAATCAAAAGTTTTACAAACACTATCATTAATTTAATTAGTATCATTAATTTGAATATCTGTGACACAAACGACTACGACTAGGTTTCGACTAAAGTATCTTAAATTCCCCCTCCCCCATCATTTTTTTTTTATTTTCAATTTTAGTACGACCTGATTGCATACCAGCAAGTTACATTGTATGTATTTTAAACTTGCTTTTAGTTGCTACAGACATTCTATATAGCATGTCTTGATTTTTTTAGTATCTATTATTCCGGTTTTTTAGTTAAGTGCTTGTCCTGTACTGAGTTTGATATTATGTTCTTTTATGTACGTTGCGTTAGTCCACATAACGAGATTGAAAAAGGGAGGGTTGAAAAAATGAATAAAAATATGAGGTATCCTAATTAGAATTCGTCTATCTTCCACAGTTTCAGTGTTGGTCATGATGTTGGCAATTAAGATTGATAGATTGATGGTTGCTTAACGTCCAGTGGCAAATATTTCATGTCTGTTCAGGACGACCAAGAACCACCAGTCATTGATAATATCATCTTTGATTTTCATATTTACGACCTTTGAGGTGGCATTGATTTGTTATTCTAGAATGCCAATAAAATAAATTTCTGAGTCCTGGTTAAAAAAGGTTTTTAGAAAAATATTTGACACTGATAGATATATCAAAGTACACTCTTATTTGAAATGCATTTAATTTGTTGACAACAGTTACTGTAAACCTGACATTAATGATATACAAATACATTCCATTCTTATGTTAATAAACACTTTTGAATAACGTACATGTTTCTGAATTTTAATCGTGCTTGTAAGAAACTAAAAGTGGTAAATTCTTAGAAAAGCCATTCTTCTATACCTTTCAGATTTTTCTTGGAATTCACTCATCTGAAACATACTTCAATTTTAGATCTTATAATATTGTGTAAGTCATATAACGTTATTTAAACATTTAGGTCAAAATATGATTG